ACTCCAACCCAGAACCCTCTGGTCCTGGTTCCCCCGGGACTCCAACCCAGAACCCTCTTGGTGTGAGGCCATGGTGCTAATAAAATAGATAACAGGATTTAATGATATTATAGTGACTTTCTGACAGTGTATTCTGGTGTTCTTTAGATAGAACTCCTCAAGGTCTGTGCTCTGAAGTCTCGGGGGTTTTAAACACTCGTTTGCGAGGGTCTCCGGGCAAGAGAACACATTTTGGGCCATCGTGTCCATTTTTCTGTGTGACGGTAAAGACGTACTTGATATATGCTTCCTCATACTTTTGAATTTTAGCTGGCCACGTGTTCTTTGTTTAGTTTTTTTTTGGGAGGGGGGGTTTCCAGCAGTTTCCACCACAGCAGGGCTGCTGCTCAGTTCCTTCCGTCTTATTTTTTAAACTTCTCCATTTCGTCCCTGCCGTACCAGCTTGCAGAGTAAAATAGCTGGATACATTTGACTGGCAGCCAATCAGAAAGATGAGCGTGCTGAAAACTGTTCCACCATAGCTGATAAATGATATTTTAAAGGTAATTATTGAAAAATAAACTACATTTTTTTAGTCATTTAAAAATATATTTATATTCTTCATTTTTACTTTAAAAAAAACTTCTCTCCAACTATCTTAGGCCCCCCTAGTGCCCACTTGCGGCCCCCTACTTTGAAAAACATTCTTCTAGCTTACTGGCCTTTGTAGGGCTTCTTTAAAAATTTAGACATAAAAAGAATGGAGCGATTTTATCATTTGAATTGTATAATTTTATGATTATGCTTTCACCTGTGTCTAGCTGATCATGAGATGAAACTGGAACAGAAAAGGCGGTGAAATATCTGGAAATTCAGTTTCGTCAGAAATATTTTTTCGTCAGCGACTAAATGAGGAAACGGTGAAGAATTGAAAAAAAAATACGGTTCCATCCACGTAAAAGGTGCATTTAGTGGAAAAGCAATCGGATTCCAAACCTCTAGATCTGGCAATGACTGTAGATTTTGCTTTGTCTTTTTAGACTTAGACTTACACCGTACTTTATTGATCCCTTGGGAAGACTCCCTCAGGAAATTAAGGTTACCAGCAGCTTACAGGGCAAACAGTGTCAAGTTAGGATCAGTTTAAGCAAAAAATATACAAATAAATAAATAAAAATACAAAAAAATGCAGATTAAGTACAGTGTATGTGATATCTCTTCCCCCTGTCCTGCGTCACCTCCTCGTCCCCAGTGAGGCGTTTACAGTCTGATGGCGTGGGGGACAAAAGAGTTCTTAAGTCTATTGGGAAGCAGCAGTCTGTCACTTGTGTTTTAGTGGAGCAGAACAGGCGACTCAAAAACAGTCGCTGGTTGTTTTTTTCTGAAAACTTTGAAGCTAAACGTGAATGTTTGGTGCCTGTGCTGCAGGGGCGGGGCTTAGCGGGCGTCAGATGCACCGCACGCAGGGCGTGTTCAACCACACGGAGGACTACGTGCTGCTGCCGGACGAGCGCACCATCAGCCTGTGCTGCTGGGACTCGCGCACGGCCGAGCGCAAGAACCTGCTGTCGCTGGGCCACAACAACATCGTGCGCTGCATCGTGCACTCGCCCACCAACCCCGGCTTCATGACCTGCAGCGACGACTTCAGGGCGCGCTTCTGGTACCGCCGCACCACCACCGACTGACCCCCCCCCACGGGCCGAAACCCGCCATCACCTCAGCCGGACCCTCGCTCTATTTGACTGTGTGTGTGAACCTGTGGATTTGTTTTTTTTTCTGAAAATATCAATGACAGTTTTGACTAAAACCGGAAAAGGAAAAGAATCCGTCGCCGTCTCTTTAAATGTCCCGACACAAATTCCGACCCGTTATAAGAAGTTGTGATACATTTTACTCAGTCTTTCCCACTTTTGTATTTTGTCCGTGTCTTTTCCATATTTTTTAATAAAGACTGAAAAAGCTGCTTTGAATTCATTTTGAGAAATCCCACTCAGAACTCACAGCCGCCGGTAGGCTTAAGGCCTGCAGCTATTTTGAGAGCACAGTTGTTGCCATAAAAAGTGCAACAGCGTGCTGGGAGTGGACCCGGCTATGGTCAGCGTTCAATATTTCGTTCAATTATCGAGCCGGTTTATTTAAGGAAAGCTTGTTTACTTGGTCCTCAACAAAAAAAAAAAGGGAAATCAAAGCTTACTTTCAGTTGTGCTTAGAAAAACAGCAGATTCCCCTCCTGACCGTGGTCAGTGCCCTCTGACTGGAGGGTCAGCCCTCAGCATTCCCCCACCCCCAGACACAAATGTCACTGTTGTCCAGACAACAACAAGGAAGCCTGCAAGAATTTATCCCCCTGCCCCTCCCCCACCCCCTCTTCACTTACACCGAAAAAAAAAAAGTTCATTCCTAAGAAGAAATGCCCTTCTTTACAAGAAGGATGTCGTCAAATGAATGCTTTTAGTTCCATGAACATGGACGGAAATGGAACAAAAAAAAACAACTATGAGTGGTGTGGTGGTGGTGTTGTGGTCTGGAGGAGGGGAGGGGGCATCTCTCCGACCAATGGGAACGCAGGATGGCCACTCCGTCTCTGACAGGGACTCGGGTTTTCTCCGCCCAGCATATAAAACAGCTCCAGTTCTCAGTGACAGCTCAGATAATATGCCCGAGAGACCCAGGCAAACAAGTCCCCAGGAGTCCTCACACACACGCGTGAACACCATGGTGCACTGAGCACTAAACGGATTTATTTCTCTGTGTGGACACAACTGTTTTGCAGCCATGGTGAGTACAGCAGCTGCTCCTGGGCTTTAAAGGCACAAGTTCAAGAGTCATTTATTGTTAAGGAACGCTCAAATGATCTGGATGTGTGAGTTCATGGGATGCTGTCCACATCCAGAGCAGCGTTCCTGTCTCCCACCCTCCTGCCTTTGACTTTTAACGTGTTCCTCAGCTACAAACCGGATCAGTTCTGCTGTGGGCTGAAACCTGAGAGCTGATTCCGACGTGGTGCCGGGAGTGGAACTTTATGAGCATCATTAACGCGGATGTTTTAAGAAGTTCCACAAGAATATATAAGTTGGAATGTGCAGCGTCAGTTTAGTTTGGAATTGTGAGCCTGAATGCCCTGATATGCTGACTAAGCAGCGATTATTAAACCATGGACTCTCTGGTTTTTGTGGGATAAACAGTATTTCATATGCCGCTGTGATGGGGGAAGCTTTTATATCTTCTGCAGAAATGGAAAAACAGAAGTGTTCAGCAAGTTGTCCCAGACCAGATCAGAAAACCATTCCTGCCTCCCTATGGATCAGGACTGGGTCTTGGAAGGATAGCTGCTAGGAAAGATGTTTTTACTCTGGGCATGGAAGTGTTTAAAAAGCTGTGTCATGATTATTGTACCAGTGCAAAATGATCTGGACATATGCTATCAGTATCTCACAGCAGGAAAGGAAGTGCATCATTCTGATAATTCCCCTTGCAGTGCAACTATTCAGCCCAGCTCATCCGTCCCTCTAAAAATAGACTGCACGGCTTGATGACTATTTCAACTGAAGCAGTCTCATTTCTGTCCTTTTAGCTTGCTTTGGGTTGGATATGTTGCCTTTTTCAAGTTATTAGAAGATAAGCAGTTGGGATTTCTTGTGTATTTCGCCTTTTTGTTTAAAACTGAAGTGCAGAAATGAGTAGCCAGTCTTCGGGGTTACGCAGCCGGAGTTTGGAACGCTGAAATGTCCGAAAGTTCCCTTCAGGAACTCTTCTTTAGGAGTTTATTTTAGCTTATCCAGGTTTACTCACCATTTTTTTCACTAATTTGATTCATTCACAAAATGAAATAAGTCATTTTGCCAGAAGCAGGAGTGGAGCAAGAACCAGCAAACAAAATGGAAAACCAAATTTTACACGAGGCATTTGTGAATAAATAAGCGGAAACACAGATCTGGAGTTGTTGCAACTGGTTCAACTGGAAGGAAAACGACCCAAATGAAAGCTAGCAGGGCTTGGCTTTACGGTCTGTGTAAGAAACCCTCCGTAAGGCATTCTGCACCTTAAGACTTTTAATGGACGGCCATCACACACAAAACTTCTGCCTTTAAAGAAGCTGGACTTTTATTCTGTTATTACAAAAAAGGATGTTTTTTCAAATTAGATTAGGTTTTATCAGTATGTTATCAGGCTGTGATGGTCCAGTTGTAAGAAGTATGATTGATAATATGTTTCCTATTGAACTTTGTTTTTTCTTTGCATTTGAAAAGACTGAATTTGGTCAAACTGACACGCCATCACATGTCAATGTGAGCGTCAAATCAGAAATGCTGCAGAACCCGGTCAGAGCCACTTCCTGACCCTGCTGTGGTGGAGCCACAGTGGGCTGAGAGCTGCAAACCTCCTATTAATAAACCCAGGGGATTTACATGATCACGCATGTGTCACAACTCACAGGCTAATGGGAATAATTCAAAATCCTCTTCAGGTTTGAAGACACAGTCTTTTCTCCAGCACTCTGGTTTGGATGTAATGCTTTTCTAAACTTGGCGGAGTTTTCATTTTCCACCAATCGTAGCCAAATGATGGCTGCGTCTCGTTTTACTGGTACAATAGCAGTGATGTCTTTGCAAACCCAAACTCACAATCCTATATATCAGCAGCATCGGTACACAGCTCCTAATAAGAAAACTCATGTTAAGAAAATGACCATAATGGCTTTATTGTTTTAAAAAAAAAAAGAAGTTTTCTTTTCGAGGTTGTTATTGTTATTTGGTAAATGGCATCTTTCAAGATTGAGCTTTGGATAAGCAGAGGATCTCATATCTTCCCAAGAAATAAATACAAAGAAATCATTGGTTTTGAAACAATGTTCCAAAATGGTTTTAAAACAATTCTAGAGAACGGAACATGTCTGGTTATGAACCCAAATTGCTGGGGAGCTTTAGTCTATCCCTGCTGTCTTTGGGAAAGAGGTGGGGAACCTTTATCAAGAACTTTAGTACAGAATGATGTTTAAAAATGGCACTGAAAACGTAACTATGAGAAAAGAAGTCTGATTTTGTGCAGCGACGGTGTCGACATTCAGCAGGCATTTCTACAGCCCATAGAGATGTGGGTTTTAGTCAGACCAACCGGGGGTTACTGGTCTTCATTTGCAAAAGAACATAGCCTATTTGTTTCTTCACCACAAGTAGTCTCAAAAATGTTTTAAGGGTCGTGCTCAAAAAAAGATAACTCAGTAAAAGCTTAAAAATTAAAAGAAAAAAATGTGAAACCTTTTTTTTCAGTTTGTCAAAATGGACTCATTACCTCAAAACCACTTTATCTAGCTGCAAAAAAGCTGTGGTGTAATGAATATCAAAATACGCACGCTACGTGATTAAACGGAGAAAATGGAGTGTCTATAGATGAAACCGGGGTGAAAACTGATAAGATCTATGCAGCAGTGTGTGCAGCCTGTGGGCCATCTCTGCAGATCAGCCTCCGGTCACTCATAAATGACCTGTGCTGTAGTTTACTGGACTACACATCCACTTCCTGTTGTGGGAGGCGTGTTGTAGGTACGAATGCCACATGCCTCAAATCCCTTGATATGTGAAAGTTATCCAAATAAAGTTAGGCCAGTCGACTCAAATGTCTCGGTCATTTTCATGCCTTCATATAAACGCCTGTATGTAACCAAATACAAGAGTAAAAAAAAAGGGATTTAGCCAAAGGGGTAAACATTAAAAGTGATGCTAGATAGGAAACTTTCTATGTTCTGAGCCACTGCTGTTGCTGTGTGAAACAAATAAGAAAATCCTCAAAAACTACACATAGTGTTGAGATCCAAATAAATTCAGGAACAAGACAAAAATCGTAATTAAGATAGATCTATCTGGAAATGGTTGTGAAGCTTTGGAACCTGAGCGAACCACAGTGGGAGCGATTAATGACAAATGGCAAAAGCATGGAACGTTGGCAAACTTTCCCAGGAGTAGCCGGCAAACCGAATTACCCCAAGAGCTCAGCAGCAACTCACCCGAGAGGTCACAAAAGAGCCCGGAACAACGTCCAAAGAACCGCAGGCCCCGGTTAAGGTCAGCGATCACGGCTACACCATGAGAAAGAAACCGGGCAAAAATGGTCTCCATGGCAGAGATCCAAGATGATAAAAAAAAAAGAAAAAACATTAAGGCTTGACTCTTTTTTTGCCTTGATGATCCCTAAGACTTTGGGGAAAATACTCCCTGGACTGATGAGACGGTTGGAAGGTGTGTGTTCTGTTACATCTGGCATAGAAGTATCACTGCATTTCAGAAAAAAGAACATCACACATTAAAATATAGTGATGGTCTGGGGGTGTTTTGCTGCTTCAGGACCTGGAAGGCTTGCTATGATGAATTAAAGCATGAATTCTACTACTAAACAAATGAGCAGATCCACCTCTGAGTGGCTTAGGAAAAACTAAATGGAGACGTGGAGTGACCCAGTCAAATTCCTGACCTGAATACTACTGAGATGCTGATGCATGACCTCAGGAAAATGATTTGTCGCTGAATAACAATAACTGCAAAGATGAGTGCGTCAAAATTTCTCCTTTAAAAGACGGATTGTGAGTTATTGCAAATGTTTGTTTGCTGTTATGGAGACCTCACTAATTATTAGGTTTTTGGGGCAATCGCTTTTTGACACAGGGCCATTTGGGTTTGATATTTTTTTCTCCCTAATAATGGTAATTTCAAAACATTGTTTTGTATTGTGTTTTTGTGTTTACTCGTGTTGTTTTAAACAATGTTATTTTAAACATTTTGCTGTGACAAAATGGAAAAAGCAAGAAAGGGCAAACAGTTTTTCACACCGCTGCACAGACTTCAGCTCAGTGTAACCATGGAAACCACATCCTGATGGTTTAAACTCTGCCCCTTGTGTTCCTCATCATGCCGCTGAGTCACAGGAAACGGTCATTTCAACACCAATTGTATGTAAACTATTAAGTTAAAGTATTATCTGAATATTAGTGTGGAGTCATGAATGGATTGTCCACTTAAAACTTCAAGTTTTCATCAGTGTTGTGCATTCTTTGTATGTGTGACAGTTTTTTTTTTTACATAGTTCCCATACAGGAAATACCAGGGCAACAGTAGTGATTCAGTGTCAGTGCCACAGAGATTCCACAGCCTTCTCTTGGTTTGTTTTGGGTGATGAGAAGTTTGACTGAAGTGATTTTCCACAAAGGACGATCTGATGGTCATTTAGAATTGGAGGGAAATTGCTTAGAATATAACATGCAACAGAAATGAATTCCAAACACACCAAATGATAATTCAAAGGTATACAGGTACACACCTCTGACTTTATCTATCTCTCATAAGCAAGGCCTCCACCTCCACCCAGGCCTCACTACCACCCCCCATCAGCAGGACTCTGTGGGAATGTCCAAAATGTCATATTTACCGGACGACTTCCTGTTTGAATTTTACAGAGGAGTTGATCTCAACTATGTGCTTTGCATCAACTTCTGACTTCAATGACCCTGTCCCCTCTCTACTTTTTCTAAAGTTGATCGGGTGCCTGGCTGTGTTTGGCAGACCACATTGGGTCTGGGTGTGTGTGACGGTATAATGGACGAGGCCTTGACCTGACCCCCTGCTCTCGTCCGGCCTGCCAAGGGTCAAAGGGCAAACATGTTGTTCCCACACTGTGAACCCCTTTCCTGAACCGGTTCAAGCCGATATCCATGGCTAGAACCGGTTGCTGTCTAATTAAATGTGTAAAGAAAAAAATAAATGTTCCAAAACAGTCCAGTATATGGAATATGAGCAACTTTGCAAAATGCACTTTTGGAAAGTTTACAGTGATCTAAATCATTTTGGATTCGACAACATGATGGTCCTTGTAAAACCATTGTAACTAAAACCATTGTTTAAAAACATTAAATATGTACAGCAAGCATTGTTAAACACAAAAAATAGTATTTACAAGCTGAGCGACCACATGGAACCAAGGCCTCATTTATTCTAGGCCACAAGACAGAATGAGTTCTGCTCTGTAGCACACTTTTTAAAGTTAGAATAGAAAGATGTTTTTTGTTGGTCTTAAACAAGTTATTTTTAAGTCTTTATTTGGCCTTTTAACCAAATATGAATAAAAAACAGAAATGACTTTTGTATATTCATAATTTATTACCATAAATGAGTCAAAGTTATCATTGTGTATTCTTCTGCCCACTAATATCAGGTATATCTGATTGTGTATTGACGCAAAATATTTCAGAGACCATACGTATCACATATAATACATATTGTATTATAAGGTTAATGGATTGTAAAAAAACACAAAAAAAAAACATTTTAGCCTTTATTTTTCTGTAGGCATGCATACACATATAAATACTGACTTGTGATATTTTGTTGAAATAGAACTGCTAGAATTTAAGAATGGCATCATGATTGTGGACTACTGAGAGATAAGTTGATATAAATGCATTTGGTGGTTTGGTCTCAAGTGGACCTTGGTAAAGTTAATCATAATGAGCAGATGGTGTGCTAAAAACATTATTCAGTCTCTTAAAGATCACTAACAAATTAGATGAATGAAGAACATGTTTTATAAAGTAGACTGTTAAATGTATTTGGGGGAAAAATTAAGCTCACTCAGATTCAAAAGAATAGCCAGAAAGGATTGTTGGGCTCAATTCATTTGTTTAGCCACCCACTTTAGTAAAATGTTATGTCATTTCATGTTAACTTTAGTAATATAGCACTTATATCTATATATCTATATATGGATATATTATGTTCATATTAAGAACAGTTCATGATTTCTGTCAATTCTTTTTCTGTAATGATGCAATATCCAAAGATAATACCTGGGAGCTGTTTTCAGCTTTATGCTAAAACAAGACAGTACAGAAGGAACTGAGAAGGACATAAAAACAGTGGCTTATGAGTAACTCATGAGAAAAAGCATTTTGACATGTTTTATCTCATACAAATGTCATCCTTCTAAAAAAGACTTATTTCACAGTATTTACAGTAAACATCATGGACTCCATATTTGAGTGATAACTGGCACGGCTCGGGTTGGAGATTCTCTGACGTCCATCTGTGAACAGGCCGAGTGGGGATAGGTGAGGGGGGGGGGGGGGGGGGGGGGGGGGGGGGGCAGCTGGGGCGCTGACATACTGATGGCCAGCTGTCTGAGGGGCTGATCTACACAAGCAGGCGTGTGCAGGAATCCAAAAGAGTCACAGCTGAATCTAACTATGTTACTGTACTTAGAGATCAACAGAGAAACAAAGCCACGGGGAAACGTGGTACCATGAAACGCTCGAGAAGGACCTAAAAACGGACACATTCTCTGGTTCAGTACTGGTTAGAACAATGGGATAAATGTCATTTGACCATAAATAACTAGGACAGAATATTCTCTGAAATGATTGTTATTCACAGAATGGCTGTTACACCCACTGTCCCATGATAATAATCATGAAACGCACAAAGGCCAACGAAGATAACAAGCACCATGCACACACTGAGATATGAAGAAGGAAATACGAAAGTAAATCTCTGTGGTTTGGTTGCTGTCTGTCATTTGACCCTTTGTATTTCACTTGCATGACTGTGGCATGACCCAGAGGATTAGGAAGGGAGTGTGTGTGTGTGTGTGTGTGTGTGTTTGTGTAGGCTGCTGCGTGCAGTGTGTGTCACAGGCCTGCCTGCGACAGGTGCGGAGTGTGTTTGTGTCTGATGGTGAAAGGGCTCTTTGTTGTCGAGCATAGCTGGATGTGATGTGTGTGTTAGCTTATTAGCAGAAACATTCGGGAGGCAGATTGTTGAATCCATGTACAGCTATAGCAGCATTCTTACTTTTCTCAGAACAACTGAGAAGATTTCTATTTGCAAGAAGATTAGTAAACCAAAGCCCTGATGTACTATGGAGAAAGACCAGTGTAATTCACAGATTTCCGTTCATGTTAAATGCTGACTTCTGAGGATTATGGTAATTCAGAATTGTGTTCAGAGTAATTCATCTGATAATACTGTACGTTATCAAATGAATCATCCAACCAAGTAATAATATTCATATAAACAAATGTTTAACAGGTGCTTAGACAGCCTGTTTCCTCTGTAAAACTGTATCAGTGTGTGTACGTGTCCATGTACTTTATTTTCGCCTCTTGTTCCATGTTGTACAAACTTGATTATGTTTATGAGTTCTGATCCTTTTAGGAGGGTTGCCTTTCCCTCACCAGAGGTTCTGTAACATTACTAAATTGGATGATATATTTTTAATGTTTAACGTTCTCACATAACATAACATATTTCAATAACAATTTCACAATAAAGACTTTTGGAATAGATTTGCATTTCTCTCCCATCTTTGGAATACAACCTTGGTTACAGTATTGATGATTATTAATTTAAAGTTATATCACATCACATCACAAAGTGGTATAAAACTCTCAGCTATCAGGTATTTGGTTCAAATCATAAACAGCTCCTTGTTACCTGCTGTTCCTTCAATTTTCCTTAATATTTCATTTGTTCCCTCATTATGTACTGCCATTCTGGCAAAAAATAGAATTTAATCAAACTAGACAAATCAAGTTATCGAGAAGAATATTTGAACAATATTATTAAACTGAAATATTATTTCATTTTTTTCGTTAGGATTTTGACAGCTGTCAAACCCCAAGTAAAGAAGTTAAAAAGAAAAAAGATTCATATAATTTGAAGGCTCTTACTATGGCCTACACCCAATCTACAATAGAAGTAATTAAGCGAATAAGTAATATTATAGGTCTTTCATTTTTATACAAAAAAAAGAAACAATAGGAACCAATTCAGCCAGGTACAGGGAGAATAAATTTCATTTTTTGGATAGCTTCTTACAACCATCACAGGGTTATTTAATGATGTTCTGTTTAATAATATACCATATTAAATATAGATTTAAAACACCATCCGTTTATTTTCTTGTGAAACAAAAATGCAATATAAGCTCAGAGCTTGCAGTGAACTATTATTGCCAGGGGCTTTCTTGGAAATAATTGTACTTTACACATAGATGTGTTCGCATGATAACTAGTTCAAAAGAAGCACAGAGAAGAGGATGTGAAACAAAAAGCCCGGAAATCTTCATGCACTGGCCAGTTACATCTTTTCCACTACAGAAATAAAGTATGACAGATCATTCATATTAAGCACTAAGCAAAATTAGTTTTAAATTGCACGGCCTTGCAACAGGAAGCTTTAAAGAAACATGTCTCCTATTTATCTCTCCATAGGAAGCACAAACAGGAAGTGAAAATAAAGCAGAAGGAAATGCCATCTAAAACCATAACTGCCTTGTTTTTTCAACAGGTGCCCAAGGCAAAATAACACCTTTACGATAATATTCACTTCGATCTGTGAAATGCCAGACAGTGATATTTCCATCAGAATCCAGTTCGTCTTGTAGTCCCATTATGGGAGACGGGGACTATAGACCGCTTATCTTGTGACAGTGTGGTATACTTCAATGCTTTAATTTAACGGCAACATGCTTGTTTTCTTCTGTTATGTTTCAGAACAAACTAGCCAGAGCGCTCTACGACAACACGGCGGAGTGCGCGGACGAACTGGCCTTCCGGAAAGGGGACATCGTGACGGTGATGGACCAGAGCGTGGCGGGCACCAGCGGCTGGTGGATGTGCTCCTTGTACGGCCGGCACGGCCTGGCCCCGGCAAACCGACTCAAGCTCTTACCCCAGGCTGGACCCGCTGCTGGCCCCTCCGGCCACGAGGCAGAAAAACCGCAATCAGCCCAGGACACAAACGAGGACAGCGTACTGAACATCTACCAGATCCCCAGTGTCCCCAAACCCAGCCATAGCCCCGCCTACGAACGCATGGACGTGATCTACAAGGTTCCATCCACTCCATTGTCATCCATGAGAAGTCCCACTTTAGCATCTGCGAAGCACGACGCAGATGAACACGAAATGAAAAAGGTACAAACTCCTTTTCGCCATGAAAGGCCGACATTTTTCAGTCTTTCGCTCTGAGGTCAAAGCCGGGCCTTCTCGCGGGGAATGTTGAGGTCTCATGATTAGCGAGGTAGACGGTTGCAGAAATGCAATGCTGTGAAACTCCTGCTGGCAAAACAGCTTACAGATGGGGACCGGGGGCCTCCTCCATAGGGACAAGCACTGAGCACCCAGGGTCTTTATGGCCCCGTAAAAGACAATCAGACACAGACTTCAGACACTTTCAACTACAAACAGCAACCCCTGCTGCCAGGGACCCCAGAAAGCCATCGGTTACTGCGCGGGTGCTTGTGCAGCAGAGGTTGGGACGAAATGCACTCACATGTTTACCATTTCCTCCCCTGCTGCAGGGAAGTCCTGTTCCCCGCAACGGTAGCCGCCTAATACTCACTGAGCAGCATGGTTTCTATTACCGAGCTGTGGTAATTGGCAAAGTGTATGCATAATGGGCTTCTCAACAGGCTTCAGAGCAAACACTGTCCCCGTAAATGTATGAACGCGGAGGTCAGTGAGGTAGATGCAGCTTTGATCATAGCAGTCGAGCTCAACCTTGCAGCCTGTTGTCTATTCATTCTTCAGCATGGCATTCAGTCCAAAAGGGGAGGTTTATGATGTACCATGCCAAGCAAGACGATCCTCTCTGTTCACTGTGAGCACTCACATGCACGAAAATGGACTGTTTCTGTCTATTCTGTCTTCTGCATTGGTCCTATTTTCATGGTCTTCTGTTATTGTCTTTGCAGACATCAGCAATTCCCGGACGGATGCCGCAAATAAACTCATGGCTTCAAATTTCAGAACTGGAGAAGAGATTTAACTCTCATGAGGGTTCAGTCTGCAGCAGTCCAGCAGACTCTTCTGTAAGTTTCAGAGGTTTAGGGGGATTAATGAAGCAAGCAATCTATGATATACTCGCTTTGCAATGCAGTCTCTGTTCTTCAAACACATACTTCTTATGTATATACTCGTTTGAGTCATACTCACAAACGTATATCATTCCAGAAGATTTCGGGTTCTGCAGAAACTGTGATGCTGATAAGTCTATTCTTGTTAACAGGTGTATGAAGTTCCATCACCTCTGACTCAAGTCCAAAACTACGACTTCCCTGTTCCTGCAGCCCAACACAAAATGATGATTGGATGCCAGACAATGCCTAAACCATGCAAAGCCGAGTGGATCTACGATGTACCTGCGGGCTCTGAAAAACAAGATCCACCCCAAGATTTCTGTGATTCCTTTACTCTCAAATCCATGCAGCTTTATGACACTCTACCAGCACGTGTTTTTCCCATTAAAAAGGACAACCCAGCCTCTTTGCTTTATGACATACCAAGGCCCAGTTCTGTTGACATCACAAATGTATCCAAAGTGTTACCACAAGTTCAGCCGTGCAACACATCCCAAACAATCGAGCTTACAGAGATGGTAGAATATGATGTTCCACCCAAGGATAAACCCCTTTGTCATCAAGTTGCCAGCAATCTTTCCGACGATCATAAACCTCTGGAGTGTAGAGGTGATTCAAGCAACATTTCTAAAATGAAAAGGGAACGGCAGCAGCGGATAAGGGCGTTTCTGGCTTGTACGTCATTCACAAATCTTCCAGGGAATGGGGAGTTGCTGGTGCAGGATGAGGAGAAGAGTAAAACCCCATGTCTCTCTACAACTGACAGTCAAAGAATCAGCACCGCCTCCAGCTCCTCCAGCAGCTCCTGTGACTCGTTTGCCCTGAGCTCATCTTCTCCCGAGCCCCACCGGGAAGTGGCGCTCAGTCAGGAGGAGGCCTGTCGCAAACTCTTTGAGCTGCAGGAGTCCGTGTGCACGGCCGTTCCCCAACTGATGGAGTTTGTTAGCAGTAACTGGAGGTGCAAACAACATCTGGAAAAACACCTGGAAGAGATCAAAGCAGCAGCGGAAGTCGTTGCTTTTTCTTTGATGGGCTTCCTAACGTTTGCCCTCGACGTTAAGGGTAACGCACGCCGTCTGACCGATGCTAATCTGCAGAGCCGGCTCAATAAGCAGCTGTCCATCGTAGAGGACTCCGGTGTGATTCTACAGCAGACAGTGAGCGCTCTGAACATGGCGGGGTGGCCCCTCAGTACACTCTGCCAGGATCCAGGCCATGTGCAGACTCCCGATCAACTGGACCGTTTCGTCATGGTGGCCCGCACTGTTCCAGATGACGTCAAACACCTTGTGTCCATCATCCACGCCAACGGCAAGCTCCTGTTTAAAGGAAAGAAAAATCCAGAGGCTGTAAGCATCAAAGATCCTCCAGAGCCAAAACAAAGTCCAGACGGACCTGAACCAGGAAGGGACCCGGAGGAGGACGAAAATGACTACGTGGTCCTGCAGGTTAAAACCTTTTCTATTTCTAGCTATTGCTGACAAGGTTAATTCAGTAACTCAACTGAAGTTCTCTCAAGGAAATATACTTACTAATGCGGTGATTCTGCTTTGACTTCTTTACTCAGACTACAGATGAGGAACAAAAAGGGGAAGTGCAGACGGAACCAAACGACAAGGTCACATTAGCTGCTGATACAGTAAGCAACACAAATTTCACTCATATTCTCCTACAGTGGCAAAATCGTCCGAACCCAGCGCATGAATGATTCTGTTATCACTCTTTTAATCTCTTTATCCCTCTCTAAGGCTAAAACTCCAGCGGGCAGCGGAGACGCACATCGCCAGTCGTCCGTGTCCGAGCACTGCCGGCTCTACTTCGGAGCTCTTCAGAAGGCCATCGGGGGCTTTGTGGGCAGCCTTCAGCAGGGTCAGCCGCCAGAGAAGTTCATTTCAAAAAGCAAGCTGGTGATCATGGTGGGCCAGAGGTTGGTGGACACCATGTGCAGAGAAGCCCATAAAGGAGGGCCCAGCCAGAGCCTGCTGTGTAAGAGCAACCACCTGTGCGCCCTCCTGAAGCAGCTGGCCGTGGCCACCAAAAAAGCTGCGCTGCATTTCCCCGACAAGGAAGCCCTGCACGAGGCCCAGGAGTTTGCAAAGGAACTGGCCCAAAGAGCACAGCACTTTCGAATATCTCTCGAACTCTGAGAGCACAAGTCCTAAGCATGCTCATTTACTGGTACAAAAAGCATTTCACCCATCAAACATTTATCTGTTTCTCAATGTATCGTATTCAACTTTTTCTGAGCTTCACTAGGCCGTAGGTTTTTGATGAATGTCTTAGAATAAATGGAGATTGCGCTTGAAAACATTTAAATGTTATGGGAAAAAGCAGTTGCATTTGTTATAAACACAGTGGAGTTCCAAAAGAAATGGGATCTCTAAGATAGTGTCTTCAAAGTCATTTTAAAATGCAATTGATGTATAGAGTATAGAATAGAATGTTTTATAAAATTTACAATTATTTTATAATCTTTGAAAATTCATGAAGATTATGTTTTTATCAAATTTGGGAATGATATATATATTTTCTAGGGTAGCAGTTTTATACATTCAATTTTTTGTGAATATTTCTGTAAATATCAATAAATATGCATTATCTCTTCCTAATGTGTCATGTAGACATGAGTACAAGACGCGTTTTCATTTTTAACAATGGTAATGTTAACAACAGAAAACATAATGTTGTTTTCTATTTAGTTTAATATGAGAGACTAGTAATGAACACAAGATAATTTTTTGTGTGATCTTTATTGAAAGAAAATATGGAGTACTAGACAGCATGATGGCGGCCTGTCCACGGTGTAGCTGGGATAGGCTCCAGCCCCCCCATGACCCCACCGGGAATAAGTAGTACAGATAATGGATAGATGGATGGGTCACTAAATGTCAGGAAACATGTACAAGTAAGAAGTGGCTACACTATAAACCAGCAGCTAGCTTAGTATTGGTGACCGCTATCATTCTGCAGCAATAAATAAATGACCTACATCAGCTCCAAATAAAATACTGAATATACACATTCAGGTAACAATCGTAACTATGAAAATCAAATTTCCATTTGTTAAATTGGTGAGTCCTCATGTACACCTGATTCAACATACCAAAAAAACAAACACACAAAAAAATGATTTTAACTATAATTCTACCTATAGTTTTGCCCCTTATAAGTTCCCCAACAATGTTGTGATAATGACTTTAGCCCCCTCTTTCGTGGTATGAGCGTTATGCGATGTAATAAGAGGCTTGAAGCAACCTTCTCCTGCCTGCAGCTTCTAAAGGTCAGTGCTGCGGTCACTGTATGGCACTAACCACAGAGTTACTTCAACTTCAGCTAAACACCCTACAGCAGACAGTGTTACACACAGGAAACCTTTTCCCGCTCATTTTTATGTGTGGGATTTCATCACGAAATAGATCTACCTCTGTTAGACTAATAGTACTTTTGAAAAAGAAACCATTGATTGCCAAATGTTTTTTCTTCAAATATGAATTAACTGGGCGTATTTGGTGAAAATCCAAATCAGACAGAGTGAAGGAAAATTAAAGAATTTAGTTTTGATTTTATGTAAACCTCTTTTATTTAGCATATACTAATACTTCATTTTGTTTTCTATCAAATCTCAGGTATGTAAATAATTATTGTCAATAGACAATTTTCACACAATGGATTAGAGGACAGAAGATATTTGATGAGGAAACAGGAAACAAAAAAGGGTGAGCAGCATGTTGTGGTTCATGAGGCAAGCATCTGTCACTCTTCACTCAGTCTTACATCGACTGAGCACAAATGTCTGCAATGTGTACTCAAATAACCGCTAAAACTGCAAAAGTTACACTTTAATATTTCCTCTACTCGATTTACTCAACTCAACTCGACTCAACTTTATTTATAAAGCGCTTTCAGTCAGCCCAAGCTAAAATCAAAGCGCTGTACAGGCCATTTGAGCCAATCATAAAACACAATTATCACCTCCACACAAGACAAACTCAAAGATTAAAAACAGTAAGAGCAAAAATAAAAAACAAAACCAAGTAAGACAGGGAAATTAAGATTTAGAAAATAGAAATTCAAACATTTTAATATAACATAAATTCCTTTTCTAGCTTTAAAAAGAGAAATAAAAGGAAATAGTTCCCTTTCTTATGACGACACTTTCGCAGGAAGCTGACTTTGTCACACAAAACAGCTCACAAAGATTCTTGTGGAGACATCCATCCATCCATTATCGTTACCACTTATGCCCTAACGGGGTCGGGGGGACTGGAGCCTATCCCAGGAGTCAATGGGCAAAAAGCGGGGTCACCCTGGACGTTGCATCGCAGGGCCACACAGAGACACACAAGGACCAACAACCACACACACTCACACTCACTCCTAAGGGAAGTTTGGAATGTCCAATCAGCCTAACATGCAGGTTTTTGGAGGGTGGGAGGAAGCCGGAGAACCCGGAGAGAACCCACAGACACAGGAGAACATGCAGACTCCACCCAGAAAGGTCCTGGTTCCCCCGGGACTCCAACCCAGAACCCTCTGGTCCTGGTTCCCCCGGGACTCCAACCCAGAACCCTCTGGTCCTGGTTCCCCCGGGGACTCCAACCCAGAACCCTCTGGTCCTGGTTCCCCCAGGGACTCCAACCCAGAACCCTCTGGTCCTGGTTCCCCCGGGACTGCAACCCAGAACCCTCTGGTCCTGGTTCCCCCGGGGACTCCAACCCAGAACCCTCTGGTCCTGGTTCCCGTGGGACTCCAACCCAGAACCCTCTTGCTGTGAGGCGAGGGTGCTAACCACCACACCCCCGTGCCAACCCCTCTTGTGGAGAAATGAACAGTAAAAAAACTAGCTTGAACCCTCCCAGCTCAGGAGCCTGTGCACTCCTTCTTGGGGCTGGCATGGGTCACGTTGACTATGTTCGTCCTACATGGCCTACATTATGAATATTAAGTGAACAAAGCCGGCCATGAACTAAAGATGGACTGACACACAAGCATTCCTGGTTTGATGCTGCCCTCTACCAGCAGTGATGAGGCATAACATCTCACAATCAGCAGAGCATTTTTAAATAGTTTTCCGTCTTTCCTTATTCATGTGCAAAAATATGGAACCAGAGAAATGAAATGGAGTTGGAACAATCACAGGATGAGTTCTCAGTGCTTTGGAAGGTGTTTGTTTGTCTGCATGTTGACAGATATTGCCAGCATAATGGCAGATATTGTCTGTGTGATAGACTGACACCAATCCAGACAGACAAAACCTTTCTGAAGACCGAAGATGCTTTCAACTATGAGAAGGTTATTCAGAAAGGGATTTCCCATTCCAGCCCCTTAATTAATGGAGGCCTGAGTGTCTATATTTATGTTGTTTGACTTATTTGGCTATGTGACCGAAGGATGACCTATCCTGCATCTTACTCACTGTCAACTGGTGATAGGAAGATAGAAACGTGCAATATTCTTCTCTCTCACTGTGCAATAACACATGCCAACTACTGTGCAGTCTGTGTAATTGTCTACTTATTTATATGGTCAACACTTCTCTACAGTGCATGTGCAATAATCCAAGTCAACTACTTTTTAGTCTTCACTCTGCTTATTACTGTGCAGATACTTTATATCTAACGGTAATATATAAATCTGTACCGTATACATTCTTTATTGATATTGTCTCTATATTGTCTTCTGTACTTTTCATAAGCTACTGGAACCAGACATTTCCCTGAAGGAGTAATCCCAAGGGATAAATAAAGTTAAGTCTAAGTATAAGTCAAATTATAGTTCAAATATAATGCCAGTTATATTAATTTCTCAGCTTGTCCAGGATAGATGGATGTTTAGATGGATGGATTACATACATTTATAAGGTCAATGACTGTATTGAATTGGGATTACAATATCTGAACACAAAGATACCTTTATTTCAAGTTAAACATTCAGAAGTAGGATGTGTCATAAAAACTTTTTTTTAAAATACACAAATATTTATTTCCTAGGAAATTAAAAACACGTTAATACCATTAAAGACACTTTAGAGAATGTTTTTGTCATTTTTGCAACTGATACTGACCAACTGGCGATGCTTAGAGCTTGCCATGTGTAAAAACATTTAAACATAATGTTTGATTTCATGGGAAACTTTTGTGATTAAATATGGTTGTAACTGCAAAGCATTAAAACTAGTTTAGAAATAAATACTCATTTATATTAATACATACTAAATCTTTGTAGTAGCTCCTGTTAAAAGACATTTAATGCATCATCGTGACACTGAAATATGATCACACCTGTATTTTGAATACACTATCAGGCATCTTTGTAGCTGCTTATTTGCTAGATTTAAATCCATAATGTCAACTTAAAAATGATAAAGAGATGATTGAGAAAAACCATCAAAGTGAACCTATTGGATTACTGGTGTAAAATCAAATCTAAAACCAGGCTATGGAGTTAATTGCTCATCTCAGAAGACTAGGAAAACCCTTTTTTTTTCGCATTTGTGCAGCGGAAATGTTAAGATCCAACATTTTTCTGAATTTGAAGATACAATATGATAATGGTAAAGAGGATGTTTTCAGATTTAGATCTTAACCATTTCGGGAGGTCGTCCCTTTCAAATCCAGAGTCTAGAAATTGTCAATAAAATGACCGACTAGCCTATGCTCACCAGGCCCCCGAGACTGGATCTGGGATACAGTCATTCTCCATATCTCAAGTTAGGTTTTCAAGCAAGCGAATGCAGTTTCTGTTGTTTGCATTATGTAAAATATGGCTGGTATCCACAATGGTATTGCACAATCGATTCAAACTTATGATATTCTAGCAAATCCTCACCAGTGACATTAGAAATATTGAATACATATTGGTTAAAAAAATTGTTATTTACGGGTTATTTTACAAAAATAAAAAATTCAAAAATAAAATTTAAAAAGTATTTACTTGTTAACTGTTGAAAAAAAAAAGCACTTTATCCATTTTCCTTCACTACTGTAAGGCCTTTCATTCTCCTAAAGTTTCAGGTAGCTGTAACTGCCCTGTTTTGTCCATGACTTTAGTCTGTGGAGTTTAAATGTGCGATAATACTGTCGTGTGTGTGTTTCTTTCCCGGACTTTGCCGTACATTTTTGACAATCTCCAGAAACCAAGTCACGTTGGTGGAGGTTTTGGCAGCGGCTGAGACCGCGTAGGCAGACCCGGAAGTAGGCCGCCGTGATTCCGCTCCCGGCCCTCCATTGATTCTACGTGCCTCTGCGTCACGCGGTCACGTGTTCTGCGCTCGCTCAGTCCGGACTACAGCACCATCGTTGACATGGCTCCGCGATCCGACACATGGCACCCAAAGCCATGATCCAAAAAAAGAAAACTTACCAAAAATGACCATATCTTAACAGCAGCCTTATTTTGTTTCTTTCGGCATTATTTCAACTCCTGCAATATCCACGGCTACTTCTCGGCTGTCAACCACTGTAGAGGGGTGGAAACGCACCGCAATCCCCGTCGGTTTCATTTTCCTTCGACATTTCTCCTTAATTTGAGTCATTTTTCAGTTTTTGTCGCGTCAGACAGAAGCTCAACATGGGTGTTCAAGGTTTCCAAGAATACATTGAAAAGCACTGCCCCAGTGCCGTGGTGCCGGTTGATCTCCAGAGGCTGGCCCGGGGAAGTTTGGTTGGAGGTGGCCGTCAAAGACCCCCCCAGAGTCCGCTGAGACTCCTTGTGGACGCCGAAAACTGTCTGCACCGGCTTTACGGAGGCTTCTACACCGACTGGGTCAGCGGAGGCCAGTGGAACCACATGCTGGGCTTCCTGGCCGCCCTCTCCAAGGCCTGCTTCAGCGGCAACATTGAGCTCCTGGTGTGCTTCAATGGCGCCCTGGAGAAAGGCCGCCTTCACGAGTGGGTCAAGCGGCAGGTGAACGAGAGGCAGACCGCTCAGCAGATCATCAGCCACGTCCAAAATAAGGGCACCCCGCCGCCCAAAGTCTGGTTTCTGCCGCCCGTGTGCATGGCCCACTGCATCCGGCTGGCTCTCCTGCGGTTCCACGTCGCGGTGAGTGAAGCCCGGCCTGGCGGTGCCTGTTGAGCGGCGACGCCGTGGGCAGCCGCCGGCAGAAATTAGCCGGCCGGGCGGTTAGCCTGCTAGCCGCCAACCGTGCCACCGTTGCCAACTTTCATTCATGATTAAAACAAAACCGAAAAAAAAATAAAATAAAAAGCTGCTCCCGCATTGCTGAGTTAATGAGCGTAGCCGCGAGCGAGGCTACGGAACTGTAAGGATTGGGTTAAAGCAGCCACACGGAGGGTTAATGCATGTGCACGGTGTGGGTCGGTTTTTTTATTTCAGAAAAGGCCAGGTTTGCTGGGTGTCAGCCCAGCGAAAAATAACACGCACACCGTGGTGGACACCAGTCCTACAAGGCCACAAAGTAACCCGAATCAAGCTAACGTCTCTTTGGGAAGATAGACGCGAAACGAACAGTAAAATATATGGCGGATAGGAAGAAATATGAAGATTAAGGCATTTGACTGCGCCCACTAAGATGGACTCGGACTTTGATGAGGATAGCCGACGTTTGACCAAAAGGGCTTCGCTCTCTTCTCCGGGATAGAAACAGGTGTTTGGGTTTGTGGGGATGGAGCCCCTGGCTAAGGAGTGAGTTTGTAGAAACGACACGAAACGAGTATGGAGAAGGTATTCTCCCACTGTCAAAAAGCAGTTAATAAATGGCCTGACATGGTCAGATAGGGATGCTCTGATCTCCTTTAGCAAAGCAGTTTCTTTCTCTCCATCTTTGTCGACTGAATTAACTTCACTCATTTTACTCCGTTTTTTTATGTTGGTAGAAAAATGCATTTCATAACTGAAATAAGCATTCTCACAAGGGCATTTTAGAGCTAACAATTGATTTAAAAAATCTTTTTCTGCACTTGTTGACCACTCAGTGACCCTTTACACACACAAACACGCGTTTCAAGAAGTGGAAGCAAAATCTCTCATTAGTAGACGTTAGTAGACCCCAGTCTCTGGCTCGAGTTTGATGTAAATTCAGATGATACAAGCCATTATCCATAAAAAAGGGTGTTTTAGGGGCAAATGGGGAGAAATGCGAGACGAAATTTGCATTAGAAAGATAAAATATTTCTCCCTTGACGGAGAGCATAGAATGGAATGAATCCATTCATTTTGTGTGACCTTTAAGCCATACACTGCAGAGTTGAATTGACGAATACTGCTTAAACAAAACAAAAAAAGCCCTATGTTAAATTTCTCCACTTTCCCACTAGTACCTACTCGGCACGGCTCTGCTCTGCACAGTATTCTTGCATTTCCACTAGGGGCCTGCCCTCCTAAACAGTTACAACTTTAGCACCTGCTCGGCCAGGGTTCCATCAGGGCTGGCGGCTGATTGGCCGGGCAGATTCATTCTGCCTCCTTCACGTGAATCCCATCCATTTATACAAATCTGGCACCAACAAACGTCCAAAGTCATCATTTCTGTGATTGTCAACATTGTAAACAGCCAATACGTAAACTATGACCTCAGTCCCAGGTCCGAGGTTTAGTCGGTACCTAGCGTCTTTCATCGTGGTCTCCTGCTTGTTTGGAGTCTGCGTGACGTCCCTGGCCGGTCGGCTTTCTTTCTGATGGGCCCTATTGTGTAATGGAAAACCACCCAGGCTGAGGCGTGTGGAGCCATGTATGACGGAGTAAAACTGCCATTAGAGATGTCTGCAGGAGAGCGTCACGCTGTAGTCAGAACCAATCAGAATTCAGCATCTCTTCTGGAAGAGATGGATGCCACACGGACACTCCAGACCTGGTACCTGCAACAGGTCCCAAAGCGGGGCTCTGTAGGGCCACCGGGGTTTGCTGGAGGTCCTGGGCCAACTTAGAGCTCAAGTCTGTCACATTTTTAAGTCACATTTTTCCAAGTGTGTCCATGCTTTTTTTAAATCTTTCATTAAAAAAATATCCCCAAAAAGTTTAAACGCACACAAAAAAAAGACTGAAGATGAGGAGGGTACAGGACTAGCCTGCCAGAAGCCCCCTTGACTTTGAAACAAATGCAACATCTGTAATAAAAATGCAACTGTACTGATACTAAAGATGCATTTTAGAGGAAGAATGACACAAAATAGCCCTTGGAAGTTCTCTACACTGTGGCATCTGTGCAAAAAAAACAAGCTAGTTTAATGTCTATTTAAATGTGTTGCATGCCTGAAATAAAAGAAAGATGGATCAATATTACCAAGTGAGAATACAGTTTATATGAGGATGAATGAACCCTGCAGAGTGTAACAGTGCCATCTTAATAGTTTCCTTTTACCAGTCGTCTTATTCAACAAGAAGTGTGACCGGGAAAGTTTGGTTTGAGCTGTAATGATTGAGACCTTAATCCCGTCTGTGCCGTTCTTCAGATTGTCCAGAGCGTGGAGGACCACCACTTGGAAGTAATGGCCTTATGCCGGGAGGGCGGTTTCCACGGCCTGGTGGCCTACGACTCCGACTACGCCCTGAGCAACATCCCCTTCTACTTCAGCTCCCACACCCTCAAACTGAGCCGCAACAGCAAGAGCCTCACCACCAGCCAGTACCTGATGCACGAAGTGGCCCGCCAGCTCGATCTCAACCCCAACCGCTTCGTCATCTTCGCTTCACTTTTAGGTCAGTGTGGTGGTCAGAGGCGTAAACGGACGGCTCAAAATGGAGCCGCTGAACCCATGCTGCGCTTTGATTTGTTTTTACAGGGAATCACATACTGCCTGATGAAGACTTGGCTGCCTTTCATTGGAACTTACTCGGCTCTGAGCACCCATTAGCATCACTAAAGGTATTTTCTTAAGATTCTTTTATTGGATTTTGTAAGATACAATGCCCCCATGTGGCTAAAGTATGAGAGGATGGTGTAAGGAGACACTTTTCCACCAAACATTGAATTAATGGGGACTTTTGGTTTAGAAATAAAAAAAGTGTTTCTCCTAACTGATGTCCAGTGTAACAGTAGCCTCTAAACTAAAGTCAGTGTATATGATTATTACAGGTTTGACCGGTTTGTCCTTATAACAGGGTAGTATATTCTTCTAACTTTTATTTCTGGTAAACTGCTGGAGGTTACAGATATATATCACAGGTCATGAAAATCAACTTTTTTTTGTCTGGGTAAAGCTGGAACCCACATTTGACATCACTAGGTACTCATATTTGTGCGTTTTAGCAGAAATTTGTATTCAAAGCTAGTTAAAATGCAGGTAGAACATTACAGTTAGCATCAACCTAACAACATGCTCCATGGAAGAAAATCACAAGTCAGAATCTGTCAGAGGCAACATTAGTGACAGCGTAGAGATGGAAGGAAGTACAGTAAGAGTGGTAATAAAGGTAGATATAGATGTATATGTATACACACACACACACACATATATATGTATCTGAGAGAGATATCTAGATACACATGTATGTATTGTTGATGGTTATAGTCACAGTTTAACTGAAGACCGTTAGGACTTTTTGTTTTGGGTTTCCACGCACAGTTCCCTGAGTGTTTGCTTCCAGCTTACCTCAGCACATCCGCTCTTCCTCAGGTGCGTGCTCACCAGCTCGTGCTCCCACCCTGCGATGTAGTGATCAAGGCCGTTGCCAACTACGTCCGCAACATCCCGGACGTCAGCGACCTGGAGGCCATCTCTAAGGACATCTTCAAGTATTCGCAGGTCTGAAACGCTCAGTCAAACGCGTACGGTTAGCCAATATTTCCAGTCAGGGGCTGTTGGTGTTGAACTTTTTTGCAACCCAGATCATTCATTGTTTCTACAGAATCTCTCTAAAAGTTGAGAGCAATCCACTCTTTTTTTATACGTGGATCTCTGCTGATTCCATCACCCTATACCGTATAAAAATAGTACCATAACTGTGCTGTGGAACTGAAAAATGGCTGGCTGCAGCAATCGGAAGAGGATAATGAGAGGGTTCTCTGCCTCTCTGCTAAAGGAGAAACATGTGAATGTAGCCTGTGTGTAGTCATAGATTAGGTTCTCTCGCTTGTATTTTTGCCATTTAAATGCTCAGATAGTTTCTCCTGGGTGGAAGCCACTGAAGAGATGAGGCCGTAATTCGTCTGAAAGTGTCAGAAGGTGTTTGTTATTGGGATTGGCAGCGCGACTGTCATCAGGAATGCGAGCAGGTTTAATGTCAGCGTTTTAGCAGACGGACTCTCACAGTAGAGTCTCCACAGCTCTGGTCTCCATGGACACGGATGAAAGAAGCCTCACGTCTGTAAGACAGGCTCACAGTGGCTCGCCGGGCGTTTGAAAAAGCTCGGCTGGACTAAAAAAGAAGCTCGAGGCCTGTTCTTTGGTCAGATGATAAATGGAGTTGTTTTGCCGTGGGGATGAAGTTTTCCTTGAGGGAAAGAAACGAGAAGCTCAAATGGAGGAGTGAGAGGGTTGTGAAACGTGAATAGTTTTTTCTTTTTGCCTGCAATGCTTCAAGGTAAACACTATACTGCCAAAAGATGAGAACTTTTAAGTTGCAGGAGTAAGTCATGAGGAACTCTGCAAAGAACTTTACCTGAACTGGACCGTCCAATAAGACAGTTAGAGAAACTCAGTCTGAATAGCCATGAAAAAGTTTTCAGAGAACAATATAATCAAAGCGGAGTGGCATTATCAAATTCTACATGTCTGCATTGGACCATAAAGAGTAGAACTTTGAAACGTGGCAAAAAAGATGTCTAAACTCAGGTCTGGAGGTTCCAGTAAGGACATGCCTATCGCTTTTGTACTGTTATTAGACCCTGTTGATGTCTGTGATTAACACTTATGATGCAAATGTTTTATGATAGGATCTTACAATTTTACACAGTGTTCTTAAAATATTCAGGTCAGATGACAACATGGAAATAGTTTATTTATTTATATATTTCAGTTATCTGTCCTATTAGGTTATCAGTTCACATCGGAGGCACGTTTAAAGGACACGTTTGCATTTGGCTGAGTTTTGTGCTCGACGTTTTTTTTCTTTGTTGACTGAAATGCACTAGAACAGAGAGGATAATGACTTTGTGTTAGATTCAAGACTTCAAAAGACGGAGAGAGAACGAGAGGCTGTAAATAGGAACAGGCTTGTTCATCCTATTTTCTTTTTAGACCAGCCACTGCACTGTTTCGCTGCCTCTTGACTTTGAGCTTATTTCATATATTTCTTTCAGTCTTGCCCCGATGACAAAGTCATTCGCTTCAAGAAGGCAGTGGAATACTATTCAGAAGCCAGCAAACCACCTCACTTCCCTCCACAATTAGGTGTGTGTCTGCCCTACCACGCTGATCAGTCGTTCTCTCCACAGCAGCGTCTAAATGAGCGTTTTGTGTTGTGCTCTGTTTCACAGTCAGACCAAAACACATGGGAGTGCCCGTGGCAGTGCTATCTCCTAAAGTGGTCAACATTCCACAGGCATCGCTGCCTGCACAACCTGGGGTAAGAGAGGGAGACCTGGACTCTGGTGACCAGAGTCTGTCCTGAGACCAACCTGTTTGTGTCTTCTCATTCTTCTCACGGCCCCCCAGGTCCAGCACTCGTACCCGGAGCCTCTCGTGGAGCACAGTCTGTCTCTGGATTCAGCCGAGAAAGACCTCCCAGAGCAAAACAGCAACATTCCTCACGAGGGGAAGCACACACCGCTGTATGAGAGGTCCTCTCCCATCAACCCCGGCCAGGCGGGCAGCCCCAACCACACGGAGGCCGCCTTCTTCAACGCCTCCTCCACGTCCTCGTCCTCAGAGAACGACGAGAGCCTAGGCACAACTGCCAAGTGAGTTGGGCACGCTACTAAAATTGCTAAACAGTTGGGAGAGGTCATGTTTCTGAGCTGCAGCCCACCCGGAACATCCAGAGCTGATAGCTGTTGTTTTGTTATTGTAATTCTGCTGCTGTAAACTATGATCATGAGCTGGATTTAACATGAACTTTCTTTTACTAGTCACCTTATATTATTTAAATTTTGCATTAATAGAGTATCCTCATTTGGTTTTTGGAGAAAAACAAGTTCACAAGACCTTGAAAATGAAATGTTTGATTTGTTTGTGCCCTGAACAAACTCGGTGTCTTCAGAATAATTCTGCGCTGCACAAAAATACATTTATGAAAGAATTAGAAAATACTAACATTTATAGTAGTTACATATGTAAAAAAATCCACATATGAAATATGAAGACCATTATGAGGATGATGCACTTTATTAAGTGAAAAGAAAGAAAATGAAAAAGGTTTTAACATTCTTTTCTTTAAAAATGTTCATTAAGATTGAATTAGTTTTATATGGTTTATATGGTAATCATTTAATTTATTACTATTTTTCATAGAACCTTTTCTGTGCAATTTCTCTTTTTTTTTTTGTTCTTGTAAGGTCTGGATTTTGCTCTGAACCAGTGTTGCCATTATTTGGTTTCAAGTTCAAGATCTTGTTTTATATGAATTCCCTTTCATCCGATGCTTGCTTCACTTTTAAATGCTCATCTGAAACTGTATCTTTTTTAACAATTTTATCGTGGCACCCCACTGATTATATATTTTCAGAGGAAATAACTAAACATTTCTGTGTTTCTGTCACAGCCACATTAGCGAGCATAAGGATGGATGGCCCAAAAATGGAAATGACACCACACCAGAGGGAGACCTGGGGGACCAATCAAAAGTGAGTCGATCCGGAGTCCCGTCTGTTGTCTGCCGGTCAGAGTGAAGCTAACGCAGCTCTGCCCGCAGGTGGACCTCTGCGGGAGCTCTGCTGCGGGCCCGGGGGCGCAGGCCATGGGCCTCCTGAGCCTGAACGCAGCCATCCCCTCCCTGCTCTCCATGCCCACCCGGAACCACATGGACATCACCATCCCCCCTCTCCCCATCGTGGCGCCGGAGGTCCTGCGGGTGGCTGAGCACAGACACAAGACGGGCCTCATGTACCCCTACATCTACCACGTCCTCACCAAGGTGCTCCCCGCTGTTGCTTCTTCTGGTTTGGCGCGCTGTTTGCGCGTGGGGGGGGGGGCGTGGCGCGGTACTGAGGTGACGCTGTGTTTGCAGGGGGAGATTAAGCTGTCCGTCACCATCGAAGATGAAGCCAACAAAGACCTGCCTTCAGCAGTGCAGCTGTTCCGCCCCATCCGTCAGTATGTTTACGGGGTGCTCTTCAGCCTGGCCGAGGCCAGGAAGAAGGCCGAGAGACTGGCCGTGAGGAAGAACTGCCTCCCCGAGTGTGAGTCCAGCGATCGGAGAGATTATCGGTGCCTCGTATATATTATTTTGACAGAAACCTATTCCAGTGGGTGCTTCTTTGAGGCCCTGACTGCCCCATGAGCTATGCCTTTTACTACCAAGGAACGTAGTTAGAGTTAGAGTACATTTAATGGTAGAAATAGTCATTACGACTTAGCATAATGTTAGTATTTATTTATTTTAGCATATCCGTACATCAGTTTTTACAGAAGGCAATTTGGCTTGTATGTTTTCCTCCGTTTCCTTATAATTTGAATATTTCTACGTCTACATTATCCTTAGGGTGGTTCCTGTGCTGGTTCAGAACCAGAGCCAAGCTTAAAAAAATAGGAAAGAAAAACTTAAACATTCAACACTGACTTCCAAAGACTTTAAACAGCAAGGGGCTTTAAACAAGAATCGAACATGTTTAAATTAAATAGAATATGTAAAATTAAATTAAATTAAATATGTTAAAAAATAACTTTTTGAAAAAAAAGTAATAAGTTTGTCAATATATCTTAAGAAAAAGATAAATATAAATTAAATTAATGGATTCATAAAGTACAATAATAAGATTAACACAAAGTAAAATGAATACTGTTGGAAATCTAGACATAAAAATTAAATAATTTTTCTATGCATTATTTGATAGGGGGTACTACAGTACATTACTTTCTTTCCATAAAAAGTTTAATTGAATATTGATTTATTGATTTATTGAATGGTGGTATTCTCAGTCCTCAACAGGGTGGACCATCCCTCACCGAATCTATTTCAAACTGAAAAAATTGTGCAATTCATACCATCGGCCCAGGTTTTAACCTGGAAAGTGTGTTTTTGTCTCCACCTGAAGCAGATGGCAGTGTTGACTCTCCTTGATATTCCACATCTTGGCGCTGCTTTCCTGAGCCATGGGAAAAGTCTCTGGTCTGTTTTTTCTTCCGGCAGACACTCACGTCATGGTCAAGGAGTGGGCGGCCTACAAGGGGAAGTCCCCGCACACTCCGGAGCTGGTGGAGGCGCTGCCCTTCCGGGAGTGGACCTGCCCCAACCTGAAGAAGCTGTGGCTGGGGAAGGCCGTGGAGGACAAGAACCGCAGGATGAGGGCCTTCCTGGCCTGTATGCGCTCCGACACGCCGGCCATGCTGAACCCGGCCAACATTCCCACGCCCCTCCTGGTGCTGTGCTGCGTGCTCCGGTGAGTGTCGCCGGGGGCAACCGGCGGGCCCACCCCTCACAGGTTAAGAATGATATTCACCTTGTCAGCCAGAAGTGAGAACAGTTTTTTTTTGTTTTCTTCTTCTTCTTCCCCTTAAATGCAGTGAAAAAGGAGGGAGGACAGTGTGAATCGGTTCCTGCTCGTTGTAACACTGTTAACCTTCTGTGTTTTGCTTCAGGTTTATGTTACATTGGCCAGGAGTAAGAATTTTGCGTCGTAACGAACTTGACGCTTTCCTAGCCCAAGCACTTTCTCCTAAACTTTATGAGCCTGACCAGCTGCAGGAACTGAAGGTGATTTTGTCGTGATGATAGCTCGAGGAGTGTCTGAGAAACGCCCCGTCTAAAAGCTCATCCTGGCCTCAAAACGTTGCACTGTCAGTCGCCAATGTGTTCTAATGGCCCTAAGCTCTCCTGTTAGCCCGCATCTAGTTTCTCCGGACACTCCTTGCTTTAGGCAGAATGAACAGCCTGCTCTACAAAACTCTGTTTTGTACCAGCATGCTGTTGCCAAAGCTGTAGCTTTGGACTCCGGCACACAGCTTGAAGGGAATCTCCTGTCAAATGTGGATGATTTCTGAACTCCATGCCTCGCAGCGAGTCATAGAGAAGCTTATTAAGCTCTATCACGCAGTCGTGTTCATGTAAACCATCCACATGAGTCGCCGGCTTTGCTCCCTGTGGCCTGTGTGTGTCGCTCTGTGGCCCGTGTCCCCCACATGCAGGTTGTGTGTGCTGGCTTGTGATTGGCTGGGTTGGGCTGTCCGTGGTTGTGTCTTCTGCAGCTGGGAGTGAATGGGCTTCTTCCGCTTGCTATGTGCTTGCTTTGCAATCCATTCATTCAATTAGAGCCGAGAGCGGGGTTTGTCGGGGGCGGGGGGACTTCTTCTTCTTTTTTTTTTGTCGTCATCTTCTGAGTGGGTGTGTTTCCCCCCGTACAGATCGACAGCCTGGACCCTCGGGGAGTCCAGCTAGCCGCTCTGTTCATGAGCGGGGTGGACATGGCCCTGTTTGCCAACGACGCGTGCGGGCAGCCCATTCCCTGGGAGCACTGCTGTCCCTGGATGTACTTTGACGGCAAACTGCTGCAGAGTAAACTAATCAAGGCCAGCAGGGAGAAGGCCCAGCTCATCGACCTCTGTGATGGTCAGGTAGCTTCATCCCGCAAAGCCCACCCACAACGCCAGAAAAACGGTGCCTCCTCAAACGTGAATCTTTTTCGCTGGGTTTCGCTGAAAACCTCTCAAACTTCCTAATGCGTTTTTTTTTTCTCCGACACATTAACGGCAGAATGTGCCGCTTCGCAGATGGGTTGTGTTCATGAAAAAGTATCGACAAAGTCAAATATCTGCCTGATGCCAGAGCGATGTGGTATAAAAACTCAGTGCACACGGCAATTATTTCACGAGTCGTTTTAGATTTTGAATAATAGTTTTTTTCTGGTGATTACTTTTTCTGAGAAGCTTCTAGTACGGCTCTCTTCTCAGAATCCCTCCTGGATTGTCCAAACACAGATCCCCACGCCTGCTGTCCACTACGAGAAGGACACCAGTCTTACATAACCTCATTAGAAGAAATAATAAATGTATAACAACGTGCACTGGCTGGACTCGGTCTTGGACTAGTTGCTAACTTTTCAGTGCACATATTTTATTAATGTTGTTCTGGAATTGATTTCTTTACTTTATTGCAATAGTTCAGTCAACTATATACCCGCATTCAATAAAGATAAACTTAAATGGTTTAAGTAATTCCATGTATTTTTACATGTAGAAAACAAACCTCAAAACATTTTGGGAGATTATTAACACATGCACAAGTTTCCACTCTTACAGTGAGCAGTCGTAACCACAAAATGGGCAGTATTCCTGCAACCAGTCTCAATTAGATGGATATTTAAACTCAAAATATATAGAGACGGCTTTTAAAAAGATTTCCGTCCATATATTGGTTCCTAAAGATCCAACCCAAATTTACCCTTTCATAAATCCATCAATGGTCAAACTCTGAGATGAGCAGATGTATGATAAATCTGACCAGTAGGGGGCTCCAGCGTGGCTGCGGGGCCCCCCCCCCCCCCTCAGTGATCCCTCTCTCTCTTTAGGCTGAGCTGGCTGCCAAGGTGGAGAAGATGCGTCAAAGTATCCTGGAGGGTCTCAACTTTGCACGCCCGCCTCACCCCCCCCCATTCCCCCCACCTCCGCCTCCTCACGCGATGCCTTTCTACCCCCCCGCCGGTTCCTTCTACCCGCCGCCCCCCATGATGCCTCCGCCCGTGCGGGGCCGGGGCGTTCCCGGTGAGTGCACACGCCCGGATGAGTCCTCTGTACTGGGTTCTTCTCAAACCAAAACGCCACTCACATGTAGGGTTGTCAAAAGTATCGATACTCGAAAAAGTATCGATACTAAAATGTTGTATCCGGATACGATACTCATTTTCAAAAGTATGGATACCACCGCGCGAGCGCGAGCGCGACGCTGACCTGCCGTCGCTGCACCCCTTCTCTCTGATTTATTTATGTATTTATTTAAGTTTTTTATGATCATTAACAAGACGTTAGCCTTGCTAGCTGCGGCTAATGGCTAATAATAACATGCTACCCTTAATCAAGTACATATTTAACTCCGCCCACATCCAAATCGGACGTTTTGATTCGGTCACCAATAGAAAGATCCCAGGCAAGAAAATCCTAATTGCTTCATGGCAATATAGACATTAATTTAAAAATAGTGAAATGAATCTTGCAAACACTGAATTAAACTCTATCCATAATATTATGTTAAAATAGTGGATGTTAAATAGGTTTGTACAATAAGTCCAAACAAGTTTAACCAAAAAATATTTATTTCTCACTATTATGAAGACTGGAGGGATAGGGTTAGGGTTAGGGTTATTAATGCGGGCCACCAGTCACGATAACATCAGTAACAGGTCAGTTTGAAATGAAAGACACAATTCAGTTACATTTTAGGGTCTTTGTTTTTATCCTTGTGGTATCGAAAATGGTATCGAGTATCGAGTATTTTCCTGAGTATCGGTATCGATTTGAAAATTTTAGTATCGTGACAACCCTACTAGGCTCTAAACCAGCTGTAAGACAGCTGCAGAACATCCAGAATGCTGTGCTAGAGTTCTGACCAGAACCAGGAAGTAAGACCATATCAGTCCAGTGCTCAGGTCTCTACTCTGGCTTCCTGTCCCTCAGAGAATATACTTTAAAACAGTTGTGAACAAGCCTCCTCATGGTCAAGCACCAAAATACATTTGTGTGAACCAGCTTGGACTCTGAGAACCTCAGGTTCTGGTCTCCTGCTGGTGCACCGGGGTCAGGACCAAACAACGAGAAGCTTCATTTCAGTTTTATGCACATAAAATCTGGATCAGTTTTCCTGAACAGGTGAGACAGGCCTCAACTCTGAGTGTTTAATCCAGGTTGAAAACGGTTCTGTTTAACTGTGCACATAACTGAAGGTATTTTATATGCACTTTAATCTATATACTTCATTTTGTTGGTTAATTTTCATTTTTTCTTTAAATTGTCTTGTGAACGAAATGTGCGAGGCAAACAAAGTTGTGTTGCCTTGCCTAGAACAGAAGTCATTTCCCAGGATGCTTTTGGGAAAGGACAATGATGGCTACAGAATAAGGTCAGTGTTTTTGTTCTGTGAGAACCAAGGTGTTCCAGCTATGCTGTACTTCCTGTTAGCCAACACACACGCTATATGTAAGCAATGTTTTTGTCTTTTTAGATTTAGATAAGATAAAATCATCATTTTAGTTTCAGTTTAAATCTGCTTTATCTTTTGGGGCCAAACCCAGGAAGCAGGAGCGTAAGGCTTATGAAGACACAGAGAAGGATAAGTGAATGAACGGTGTGGAATAATCTTCTGAAAAGTTGAAAAGAAAGTGTCGAACAATTTGTAGTTCCACCTGCTGAATCAAATCCTAGTGGAAATATGAAAGGAGAAGCCTGGCCATTGGCCTAGTGCTGGAAATTAAACGAAAGATGCTGGAAACGTTATCAGCAATGTAGGGAAAGTTAAGTGAGTTGGACCACGCAACGGAGGAGCACACTTTGCTGGAAGACATGAAGGCCGATCCAACATGCAGAGGAATACAGAGACCGTGTCGTCAGCATGAAAACACAAGTGCAGGTAGTGATCAAAGCATACGAAATAGAGAAACAACTATTTCCAGCCTGCTAGGCAATATGATATTAAACCCCAGCCAGCTGTTGGCACAGTAACCTGGCCGTGAGACTGTGGAAGCTGTAAAATAATGGGTGATGTAATGTGATGGTAGGAATACCTCACTGGAATGACTTAAAGAGCAGTAGTAAGAGTTACACAGACAGATAGTAACCCTGATGTTGCAGTTGATGTTCTGCAAAGTAGATGTGAAGGGAAAGCTTTCAATAGTAAATGTCAAATCTTCTGAATCTCACTCCTGTGAAGAAATCTTCTGATGATGATGTCATTCAGATCAGAAGCCAGGAGTCGATGGGAGTGGTGTCAGACACATGGTATGTTATGTCCAATACTGCTCCAGATGAGACCAGAAGACAGAATGAGGAGACGGTACCCAATGCGCTTAGCTTCACAGTCAACAGAGAGCCAGTATTTTCAGAAAACGTATTCAGCTACTGACATTATACTAAAGAAACCAAATACGACCTCTGCAGCCACAGTGTACACAGAACTACCTGTTTCTGTTTGAATGCTGAACACGGATCAAAGCTGCCCAGACCACCGGGCGTCCGTACATACAGAAAGGCTGAAGAAGCTTGGCCGGTGCGATGTGTCCCAAACACAGCCTGCCGACATTGACGCTGTTATCTCCTCAGTAATCCTCCAAGCAGGACCAACCAAGCCTGATAATCAGAATACTGCTCTTCTGCAAACAGCCAAGGCATCGGTTGTAAGGCACAGAGGCAGCAAGCTGGTCCGGTGCTTGCTGGGTGGAGGCAGGTGGACCTGTTATTATACAAGGCCTGTCAATAGACATTTGGCTTCTCTGCTTCATCAACAGTGGAGCGCAGTATAGTGAAGCTCAGCTTACAGAATGTCTGTGATAAACAGCAGACTGTTTAAATGGAAGCATTTGACTCCAAAAGGACTAACACCTTGGATCGAGGTATCTTGTGAACATATATAGGAGATGAACAAGAGATGATTACGTCTCGCAGACCTTCGCCGGATGACAATCCTGAACTGTCTATATTTATATTTACATTTATGCATTTAGCAGAAGCTTTTATGCAAATCGACTTACAAAAAGAGGGTTTAACTTTCTACAACACCAGTTACACACTTATCTTACCTTGAGTGCAATATGCAAAAGAGGATTCAACATTCAACTGTAACCTAGATTACACCAGTACCATACAACGAGTGCTATATGCTATCAGGAAATAAGTGCATTTAGAGCTTTCAGGACAAGAGATACTTTTGGAAGAGCTGGGTCTTCAAGGATTTCTTGAAGGAGGAAAGATAATGTGATGCTCTGATAGTGCTTGTGAGGTCGTTCCACCAGTATGGAACCACAGATGAGAAGAGTGTAGACGAAGAGTCTAAATGCATTCTTGGTTCTTTTGACATCACAAGTAAAAGGTGACAGAGAACAGAGGGAAAGTAAGGATTGCTGTAGTTTGAATAAACACCCATCTACATAGAAAAAGAAACTAAGAAAGGACGCCACCCTTCATAAGATACAATGAAGCAGTGGAGGGCTACTTAAAACAAGGTATGGCTGAGGATGTGCCGAGGGAACATACATCACCACTAAGCAGTAAGACATATTACCCCCTCATTGTTGAAGGAGGACAAGGTGACAAAAAAAAATGCGGGTTGTTCTTAATGCTTCATTCCACAAAGATTGAACTCCTTGACTAAATGACGGTCTCTTAAAAGGTACCATTCTGAATCCAGATCCGATGAGTGTTTCGATCAAGTATAAACTGCATGAAATTGTGCACATGGCAGTCATTAAGAATGCATTTCGGCAGATTTTACTCTTGGAAAGAAGCTGTGATGCTGCAAGATTCCTGTGGTTAACAGGCCCCCTCACAGAGCAGGAGGACGAGGAGCTGCATATGATTAGAATGACTGGAGGGGTGTTTGGAGTTTCATCGGGGCCATTCTTACTCACAGCCACCATCAGAAAGCACTTGAGGCAATGTGAGTTAGAACAGCCACACTAGGTGGAAACCATCAGTTCTGCGCTTTGTGTGGAGGACTTTATTTTAAGTGTAAGTGATGTCACAGAGGCCCAGGCTGTGACAGCATTAGCCAGGAACAATATGTCTGCTGCAGACATGGACTTATGGAGATGACAAGCTCCCCTGAGCTCAGAAGAAATGCAATGAGAGCTTGATGGATTGGACCACACAGCCATAAATACATGGGTCAATGCGGAAGCTTCTGGGCTTGATGTGGAGACACAGTCACTGATGATTGTGCATGACCTCGCAGGTCTGCCCGAGAAGGCGGGAAAACAGAAGTGTCCTGATGTCTTCTGCTCACATTTTTGACCCTTTAGGATTCTTGACCCCTTTCTCCATCAGGATAAACTACTTATTCCAAAATATTTGGGAGAGAGGGCTCAGGTTGGATGAGGAACTGCCACCTGATCTGACTAAGAATGTGAAACAGGGGTGTTCAATAATCTCTCAGCTTTCATTCCTATGGTGGTACAAGACACACATGCATCAGCAGAACAGTGAAGATCTAAGGATACACATATTCTCTGACTCAAGTAAAAGGGCTTAAAGCGCAGTTAGTTATTTGAGGGAAAATCTAAGATGTCGAAGCGACCGCAAGTCTGGTAGCATTCAAGTCCAAAGTGGCTCCGCTCAATAGGATGACATTGCCACTCCTAGAGCTGATGTAGGCCTAACAGCAGCCAGGCTGGCAAGCACCTTCACCAAAGCACTCCAACCTGACAAGACACAACTCAGACAATGGACAGACTCACTGATGGTTCTAAACTGGATTTGCAGTTCCGCTCACAAGTGGAAATAGTTTGTAGCAAATAGAGAGTCTCTAACTGACCCAAAGGTATGGTCTCACTGCAGTGGTAACATGAATTCAGCTGACCGTCCTGCTGGAGGCCTTACTATGCAGGACCTAGAGCAGAGCACATTGTGGTGGATTTGGCCTTGCGTTCTGATATCACCTGATCAGCTGAAGAAACCCCAGGAGGATGAGATCAAATCCTAACTCATATCCAAATACCAGATTGCTGTACAGGATGCTAATCAAGGCATATGTCTTCAAAACAGTGTTGCGTCTGGAGATGCAAAGCAAACTGAAAACGGAGCTCAGAGCATTAGCCTAAAAGAACCGTAATTACCAAAACCTACTCAAGCACAAAATTGAATGGTGAAGGGACAGCAGCAGAGCTTAATGATGTTTAATGAAATAATTGAATAAAAGAGTCACCACCATTTGAGATCACAGACGTGGACCTTGCTAGGATGCTCTGTGTGAAGACACAGAGCTCCATGGTCACATCCAGATCAGGGCTCTTATGATCTCAGATCTCTCCACAGAGAACTTTCAGCCAGCCTTCAAAAGATTACGTACAGTAACCTATTCAGATAACCCCAAGCCATTCAAGAAAATTGATCAGCACGTGAAGGAGCTCTAAAGTTTCTCTCTGAGAAAACTGTTGCCTAGCGTTTCATCATTGAACAAGCAGTCTGGTGGGGCGGATTCTGGGAACGGATTGTTAGGTCAGTCAAAACGGGTCTCAGAAAAGTGCTGGGCAGAGCTAAACTCAGGTTTGAAGAAAGGTGCCTCGCTGCCTCGCCATACGAAGCTGAAGCCATAATAAACTAAAGGCCACTCACCTACGAATCTGCCATTTCCTGGTGGGTCAGAGACTGACTCTCCTGCCCCGGAGGCTGACCATCCAACCGTCAACAAAGAGTCAATGACACCGCGGTGGTGCTACAGGCAGAATTTAGGAAATGCTTTGAAAAAATATGGAAATTATAGTTTCAATTAAATTAGTTCACCAATAAGACACCTTTCATACAGAAGGTTTATCGGGAAGGAGGATCTTGGAAATTTTCTTGAAGCCAGTTGTAAGTTGATAAAAGTTAACCGTGTTGACATTCCTAATCCAGTTTGAGTAGTTGTTGTCGATGTTTGTCGATTGTAGTTGTTGAGGATGGGTTAATTTACGTGTAACTTAGTTTGAATTGTTACTTTAAAACAGACTTAGTTTTCTAGGATTCTCTAGGGAACGGACTGTAAATACAACTAGATTAAGTCTTTTATTTGGTTGAGAGCATTGACTTTCCAGCTATGCTCCACTGTTTGTTTGCCTTCACATGCTATATATAAGCACCATTTTTTCATTTTATTTTTTTCACCAACGTCTTAGTTAAGATACAGTCTTGCTTCACCATTTCATTTTCAGCTTAAATTTCCTAAATTTTTTATTTGCATTATAAGATTGGACAGAAACTGAAATGGTCCTTTCAACAAAAAAAAACGGTTAAAAAAGAGAAGGGCCATTTTCTTTTCATGCAGAGCATCAACTGGAAAAAACCAACAGTCTTTTAAGTCAAATAAAATGTAGGTGTTTTAAAACCACTTTAAAACCGCTTTACCGTGTCATGGCAGTGTAATTGTAATTCTCAGTCAGATGACTGTAGGCCTGGCGTGCACACACACACGGGGCACTCAGCCAGGCCCGTCCTCACGGGAAAACACCGGCAACCCGTGTCTTTAAGTTCATATATTTGTTGCTTGTTCATTTTTTAAGGCAAAAGCACAGCAGCTCAAGGACCCTTGAGCTCCTTGAGCCTTTAACATGTTTTTCCTGGTTATACGTTTAACACGGAAAGTTTTCTGTTTTATTGAATTATTTTGCATTATTATTATGCTCCAACTGATAATCCCCTGTAAAATGTATGTGTCAAATGTTTGTAAATACAGAAACTGACCTCAGGAGCACGTATGAGTTAATTCCTAGTTGCATTTGAATTCAAACTGATCTATACTGGACTCTTATGCTTGGAGTTTTCTGATCTTGTACAAATCCAGCTGCCTTTCAATTTCAGAAATGTTTTTTGGAATATGGTACCTGCTGATCAAAATGTTCTCACACATCAATTCATTGGTTTCACAGATATATACTTAGCGAGTGTGAAGCACATCACAGGATTGTTGGACAATGAATATGAAGAACAAACAAGGACAGAAAAATACATTTTCAATTTGTGTTTGTCCAAACAGTAATTTTTTATTTGATAATTCATATTTAAGAGTAAATTACTTTAGTTTCTTACCAACTAAAGCAGAGTTACAATGGCAATTCTAGCAAAAATAGATACTTTATGATATAAAACTGTGTATTCTGCGCATCTATAGTAACATGGAACATATTTCCATTCTATTCTCAGAGATGTATATACTATTGTGCACCATGTACTGTAGACAAGTAAACCTCCTACTTTATTGAAAATCGAAGGACAGCTACATGGGAGAAGCAGGGCCTTAATCTTGTCTGACCAGGCTGATATGTCAATCATGTCATTCAAATAAACACTGAACCATAACTTCCCATCACAGATTTCTCAGTCAGACATTTTTCTGCTAATAAGCACATCATTATTTGGTTTTACCTAACATATTGTCATTTCTGCACCACAATTGGCTTTCAGAAACCTATTTTATTATTTGACGTCTTTATAGAATGTGCCAGGAAACAAATAATAAGAGTGTGTGTGTAAAACTTGACCTCACAGCAGTTGTGCTATGAAGTGCATGACTGCTTATGTGCACACAGTGTGTATACAGATGTTTAAGGCCCCTAATGTCTGCAGGTTCTGGTTTGTCCTGCATTGTCCCTTTTACCTGCATTGTCCTATCCTCAGTCTCTCTGCGGCCTTTCAACACGCACCATAAATCTGACCGGAGGGTTTCAGTCCAGGTGGCACAATGCTGCAGTGGACCACAGCCTTAGAGCAGACAGAGACGTTATGGGTTTAAATCTGCTGCTGTTTTGGATTTTGTGGGGCTTCCATGGTCTCTCTGTGCCTGTATAGGTTGATATTATACCTCTGAATAGGCCACAAGTGGGGGGGTGAAATGGACACTGCCGATGTTTGTTTTTTCTTCTTTTTTATTAATCCACTTAATTGTTGATCAAGGGTTATAAGCCAAAATGAATATTGTTTTGTTCTGAAAATGGTTTTCTTGACTTAAATCTGTGATGGTCAGGCCTCCTGTCCAGGGTCTGTTCTGCCTTTCACCCAGTAACAGGTGAATTAGATGGATGATTGGACTTTGATTATGAAATCTTATTTTGCTGTCTGATGCCAAATTAAAGTACAGTATATCTTCAGGACTAAGAATCCATTTGAAGGCAAGTGCTGTTTAAATCTGTCGCTGCCCCCTTTTAATACGGTCAAAATAAAGCAGCCTGATGTAAACATAGATTCCCCGGATTGATTTTAGATATTCTTGGTACTGAAAGGCAGAGAATGTGAAGCAGGATTAGCATGGAGCACCAACCAATCAAATCAACCGACTGATCGCTTCCTCTGTTTTGTGACTTGTTTATACTTACTAACTATATTTAACAGAAGATCAAACACATGTGAAAGTGATAAAAGAAATTACAGCATCAATACATGACCCTATATATGTTAAAGTGCTCATATAATTATGGTTATACCATCTAAATACTATTTTCCACTGTTTAATCTTGCAGCTTCATGTTATCAGATGTTGAATTCCATTTAAAGTACACCAGCAGTATTCTATCTGCTGGTGAATATTCAAGAAAACAAAGTAATAACACTGTAGTAAATCAATGACAGCTACTTTGGCGGGAGGTAATAGACGTGAACTGGGCCCAGTTCCTCAACAGTAACATGTTTTACTGTTGTCATTTCAGCTGTGTTGGTGTGGATGAAGATGATGCTCCAGACATTGACATTTACCACTGTCCAAACTGTGAGAAGACCCACGGCAAATCCACGCGTGAGTAGCTGCCCCGTCCCCTGTGTGGACCGGAGTCAGAACCGTGTCGGAGACAAGCCGAAATCTGATGATTCCTCCTGGGCTTCGCCTTTGATAAAAAGAAAATGAAAAAATAGCTGATTGTTGATAAGTGTTTCTCTTCTCTCTTTAGTGAAAAAGAAAAAGAACTGGAGCAAACATGACACGGGGCAAAGCACAGATATCAAAGCTGTTCAGAACGGCAGTCAAGTTTTCATCAAAGAGCTCCGCAGCAGAACGTTTCCAAGGTAAGATTTAACAAACTACGCTACGGCTTAATTTCCCTAATGAAAGAAGCATTCAGCTTAATGGATTCAGATAAGATAAGTGACTGTGGTTGAACTGTGCATATCGGATGCTTCCACTAGGGGGCAGTGTCTGGTAACTTTTTAAGAGACTCAGATGTTGGTCCGCTTTACTTTTTGATGCATATTAATGGAGTTTTCTCTCTGTGTGGCTGTCAGTGCTGATGACATCGTAGTAAAACTGAGCGGAGGTCAGCTAACCTTGGACTACCTGGAAGAGAACGGCTTCACCGAGCCAATCCTGGTTCAGAAGAAAGACGGTTTGGGCATGTCCATGCCCGCTCCCACCTTCTACATCAGTGATGTGGAGAACTATGTCGGTAAGAAATCTCTCCAGACCAGTGTTAATATCACTATTGCTTTTACAGCTCTGTTTCCAGAAAAGTTAGGACATCTGGTAAAAAGCATGGAAAAAAACAATGAGTTACAATGATGATAATGCATGCATATAGCAATGTGTTTTACCTTTATTTAAACTTTATTTATGACTTAATCAGCGGTCGAAATACAAATTCTTCCTTTTTTCTTTTTTAACCCTTTGAAAACAACTCGTGAAAAAAAGTAAAACAGGGACTTTCTTTACCTGTTTAATGCATCAGCTACTTTGTGATAAATCTAAGTTGAGTAGGCTTTTTAGTTCTGGACAAAAATAAAAACATCGAACAATAAAATCCAAATATTAGCTGTAATCGAGCTCAGGACTACCTGAGTACAATCTATGTAGCTTTTAAACGGAGTCTACTTTGCTTATTGGTGAGCCTGGGTGTTTGTTCTGTTTGGAATAGATTGAAAATTGTAGAGTGAAGTCCGTTAGGATCAACTGAACACAGCTTGAAGCTGTTTTGTGATTTTGGAAGTCTGTTTGACCGGTGGTGACCTGACAGGAATTTCCTCTAAAATGATTTAAGAAGATGCCGCCTGCTTTTCAGTAGGGGGCACGTGTGTTCTATCTGCACACTATCCGCACACCCCCCCACTACCAACAGCCGCAGCTGTCTTCTTCTGAGCAGTGTGCCACCTTCAGAAGATGTTTAGATGTTCTTCAGCTGGTGTCCTCTCCATCTTCTCCTCATGTCTCAGGTCCTGATGTTGGCGTGGATGTCGTAGACGTCACCAAACAGACGGACAGCAAGATGAAGCTCAAAGAATTTGTTGATTACTACTACAGCACAAACAGGAAGAAAGTGTTAAACGTCATCAACCTTGAGTTCTCGGACACAAGGTACCAGATATTTGTTTGAAAAACTGCAAAATGACTGTTTTTGAAGGAGAGCTGGATTTTTTTTTTCAAACTCAGGGTGTTTTTCTCCTTCTCCTGAACAGAATGAACAGTATAGTGGAGAGTCCGCAGATAGTGCGCCGGTTATCATGGGTGGAAAACTACTGGCCTGACGACGCTCTGCTGGGGAAGCCCAAAGTCACCAAATACTGTCTGATCTGTGTCAAAGACAGCTACACCGACTTCCACTTCGAGTGTGGAGGAGCCTCCGTGTGGTATCACGTCCTGAAGGTCAGTGGCACCTGGGCTTAGGGTTGGAAGTCCTGTGCTGTTATCCCCATGTGATCAGAGCAGTTGTGCTAAAGATTCAATGACCTTTTTCAGGGAGAGAAGATTTTCTTCCTCATCAAGCCCACTTCAGCCAACCTCTCTCTGTATGAGCGCTGGAGGTCCTCATCCAATCACAGTGAGATGTTCTTTGCCGACCAGGTGGACAAGTGTTATAAATGCACCCTGAAGCAAGGCCAGACTCTTTTCATTCCGTCAGGTCAGAGCCGCTTTCATAATGAAACTCGAATTAAATTCAAGTTTCTTTTTGACATGTGTTGATTGGAATTTTGACCTTAAATATCCAACTTTAAGGGTATAAAGTTTGTCTTAAATCAGCATAGATGTGATTGAAATGCTGAAATATGCTTTAGCGTTGGGTATAGGAAGCCAAAGCCATAGACTTTAAATTAATAGCAAATAAAAAGTTGAAAACTTGATTTGATTTGTTAATATGGTAACAAAATCTTGTTTCAGAAAAACAGGTATTTTCTTAACTGTAGGATTACATCTAACACCACCTTTAAAGACTGTACAAACAGTGATCTTTTGACCCTGTATCAGCAGCCTATGAAACCAGGCTTCCTTTTTTTTCTTGACTCAGGATGGATAAATGCAATATTGACTCCAGTGGACTGCCTGGCCTTCTCCGGACACTTTGTCCACAACCTGAGCGTGGAGATGCAGATGAGGTTCGGAGCCCTTACTTAGTAACCACAAATGTATCTTTTTTTGCTCCCTAGTGGATGATGTGTTTGGTAATTGGCTTTAGTTTGTCTGATTTCCCCTCACCTGCTACGCCTTCTGCACACACTCACGTCCTAATTTGGGGTTTGTGTGTGGTGGGGTGATTTTGGCAGATATCACTTAGTAATTTGCCTTCGCTGTCTGCTTTATGTTGCGCCGAATTTGCAAGGGAATTTTCTTCATTTGGAAACACTTAGTGAAGTGTAACGCACGGGTTGGTTGTGTGGGACGATGCTTAGCTGAGGCATGGCTTGTTTTCCTCAGGGCGTACGAGATCGAGAAGCGGCTAAAGGTCAAAACTCTAACTCCGTTCCCCAACTATGAGACAGCGTGCTGGTATGTGGGACGGCACTTCCTCGAGAGATTCAAAGGTGACCTCTTAATTCATTTGTATTTGCCAGATTCATTTTTGCTCTAAACTGGGAGGAGGTGCTTGTGCAGCATGTCTGCTGTGCAGATGAGAGCAGGATGCTTTACTGTTATTTCAGTCATTAAATCAGTAAATCACAGAGTTCACAGATGATTAGCTTCAAAAGGTTTGGCCCTGCTAGAATCACTTGCTCCATTACAAGCCAGTGTTTAAACTTGAGCCGGCTGGAGCCAAATGTTTATGTTTCCAGCATTTTGTGTGTATGAATATGTGTGTATAAAAGCTAAATTGCTTTGGTGTGTTTTGCACAAGTCCAGCTCTGGCCATTAGTATACCATCATTCTTTTTTTTATCGTCAAGGTCAGCTTCTTCACTGCAGTATGCATTTTTATTAATGATTTCCTGTTTGAATGAAAATTCCCTCCAGTGAGCAGGGATGCTAAGACTTTTTACCAATATTTTAATACAATTTAATATAATTTAATAAGCACCCAAAGTAGCAATCGAGATGTGAATTTGCATGAATTGAGGCTAATTACTGAAAAAATTGTCTTTTTTACATTGCAGACAGTATAAAGAAAATCTGTTTCTTGTTGTATTTCATCACCTTAATCTAATTTATTTATTCAGCCTCAGGCTTGCAACACATAGGACAACATAGGTAAACAGGAGTACTAATGAGATTAAAAATATGTAGAAATATAACAATAAAATAAGAAACGTTGCTATCAAACAAGTGATAATAATGTCAAAACGTAGTTGGAATCATCATGTGGTACAAAAGCTGCATCCAACTCTTATTTTGCTATGAAGTCAAAACAACTGAAAGAAACATTGGGAGGGATTTTGGTTATTTCTTTCTTTTCAGTTTAATCTTACCCACTAAAATAAAAAGTAGCAATGACAGGAATAACTCTGGTATCTACCTGGTATCAGCTAACTATAACTTACCAACTTTCAGGCTATGTCAACATTCATCCAACAATTAAAAATGCCATGCCTTGTGATGGTTTTTAATCAGTACCCTTAATAGAGCTCATTTACACTGTCAAACCTTTAATAAGGTTTTAGAGCAACACATTCTGCCCTCAAGAGCACGTCTGAGTATTTTTCAAAGGGAATACAAAGCCATATTCTGCTGGCTGAAGAAGAGAAGTGTATGGACACTGCTCCATTCTACAGTGTCCTCATTTGAGATTGTCACTGTTAGTGAGACCAGTGAAATGTTGTGGGATCATTGTTTTCCAAATATCTCATTTTTAAATCATATTTTTTTTTAATTTTTTTTTTTTTTACACTCTTACCTTAAACAGCCTGGATTCACTGAGTAGTAACATTTAATTTCTCCCTCTATAGGTTTACATAAAGCAAATAAGCAGCCAGCTTCGTACCTGATACATGGTGCCAAAATTGTCAATGGAGCCTTCAGAGCTTGGACCAAAAAACAGGTTTGGGATCGTATACATACACAGCATATTCTGCGTCATTTGCCTGTATTGATGTTAAAGTTCAGATTGTCCTACTTAAACAGGCTCTCCTGGAACATGAAGATGAGCTTCCAGAAAACATGAAGCCATCACAACTTATCAAGGATCTTGCCAAAGAGATCAGATTGTCAGAGGTTATTTGACTTGATTTACTTTTGAGTTTAGTTCCCGTCAATAATAATAAATGAAACAAACAATAGCTCCCCTGTGCAGTTAACATCCCAGATCTCTATCTTAACTTTCAGAATGCAACAAAAGCCATTAAGAGTGAGCCCACTATCAAGATACCCGTGGAGGAGCCCCCGTCCACCCACTCTGAACCAGAGGAACCCGTTTCCCCAGCGCACATCCCATCACCCAGCAGAGAGAAGTCAAGGAAAAAAGCTTCTAAACCCCAAAAACCGCCTAAGCCCCCCAAGCCCCCGAAGATGCCCAAGGCCCCCAAGCCCCCCAGGGTACCCAAGGTCAAAGAGGGAGGAAAGAAGAAAGCAAAGAAGACTAAAGAGCTTTCACCTCCTCCTAAACCTTCCAGCTTCGCAGCTCTCGAGTCTCATGCAAAGGACATTCTGAGTAAAATGGACCAGCCCAAAAAAACAAAGGTGAGCAGATTTACAGGAAAGCATATATTTATTAATAAATATAAATTGTTCCACTCAACCTTAGTTTTTCAGCATGCTGTATCTCTCTGGTAAAATAGCTAAACCTTCAATCTTAGGGCTAACTAGAGTAGCTTGCTGATCTGCACTTTATTCCTACTTTGTCCCACTGATTGGATTTCATTAAGATTATAATTAGAATTGAAGTGGTGTGAATCATACAAGGGAGCACAGTTTTTTAGTAACCACTCTTTAATACTTTTATTTTCCAGGCTGTCAAGAATGTCCTCAGCATGTCAGAGAAGGAAATATCAAAGCAGAACAACATGGAGAAGTTTGAAATCAGAGAGCAAAACAAGAACAAGACTGAAGCAAAATGGAAGTACAAGGTGAGGGATTTTAGGCTGACAAATTTTGTCATGATTTCTAACTAATGGCTGGTTGTTCCAAGCCAAAGCAAATGGTATCGCTCTCTGTTCAAAGTTGATCTGACATCTTTGGGAAACATTCCGAAGGTTAAAAGCTGTGCGATGAAAAAAAAAGGAATAGATTATACAATACTGATTTTCTCATTTCACTTCAAAGCAATCATCAAAAATAATTATACGGTCCAAGTCTTGGAAATGGAGGCCTGCAGCTCATCAGTCCTCTCCTCAGAGTTTATCTAATGAAATTATGCCACATTATCCGACGCATTCCTTCTAAGTATTTACGTATGCCCTTGTGTTTGAAAAAAAAATCTTTGTTGTATAGTTTCTGCTGAATAACAGGAGGGTGCTTCTTTGGGGTTGAAAAAAAGCATAATTTTGTGGAACGGAAGACATTAAAGGTCTTTAGTTTCATGGAAAAATTCAATGCCAGAGTGCTGTGGAATGTTTGCAGCCCCTCCAAGGATCACCCAAAACTGCTCCTCCTCAGTGGGCCAAACATTTGCAGATGGAGAGGAGACCCTGTTAGATGTTCTCCCAGGTCACCAGAGAGCATTCTGTTCCACATGCGATCGCTTTCTGTTCATGTAGAGGCTCACATCCTCTCTGTGTTCTGCGTGTGGGCCATTACCCTGCATGTTTGTGTTGATTTGAAGGGGGAAAATGCACGAGACCAAGTCAGTTTAAGTTTCAGATTACACCGTGTCATCATATGCTTTTAATTTAAGAAACAGAGTTGTTGAGGAACCACTACTTTCAAATGTATGGTTTCGTGTGTCAGTTAATTACAAAGACTGCTCAGACTTAGCGTTTCTAAAAAGCTATTTTAGATTTTTCTTGTTGTGGTTTTCTGTAGTTTAGTGTAAAAATAGGTCAGAAAATATCATAGATTGACATAACGATTACGATCATAACAGCATCACATTTCATTGAATTTTTGTTTTTTAATTATGTTTTTTATGATTTAGATAGTAACATTTTTAGTTAAATAACGGTTATTGATTTTGCAATAGCTGTTCTGGACTTTGAGTAGTTGACATTGTTCAATAAGGGTTGAATAGTATATATATACTGTACATTTTTTCCCCCTACATCCAAACTTTTCCTCTTCAACAGGAGCAATCTTATTCCATGAAGTTGATATTTTCTAACATTCATTATGTAAAGTTTTCTGTTTAGTTAATTAGATTTTAAACATCTCCACAATTATTTTGAAGTTTTTCATACTGACATTAATCCTATTTCCAAGACAGGCGATGATAAGTTTATCTGTGATCCACTACTCTTTGTCGCAGTGTTGCTTTCATTTGATATTTCATGAAATAACTTGACTTATTATCTCATTGGGATTATTTTTGTTTGGATCATTACAGAATAGTAAGCCAGATTCCCTGCTGAAAATGGAGGAGGAATGCAAATTTGATAGAACCCCACTGTCAGGCAATAAGGACCGATTCAGCTTCACCATGTCTCACATTAAGATGCACAGGTTAGTATGGAACGGCTGTGTCGGCAGTATATGTCTTTCTTGATAGTTCTCTCATTAGGAGAGCCTGTCTAATGTGGTGTCTTACAGCTATTACAGAGTTATGTGAGTGTAAGCATGAAATCCATTTGAGCTGATTCAAGGACTTCTTTGTGGGAATGCCTGGCTATCGCTCTCTTATTGACATGTGGTTTTCCTTTCAGCTCAAAGACGCTGAAACCTCAGAGCAACGCCAGTGTTTTTGGATCATTACAAAACCTTAAAGAGGACAAATCAAAGCCAGTGAGAGATGAATACGAGTACGTGTCAGATGAAGGGGAGCTGAAGATCGACGAATTCCCCATCAGGCGGAAAAAGAATACGGTCAAGAGAGATCTTTCCTGTGAGCATGGTCCACTTTTCTGTTCACGTACAGTGACACTAGGGAAGTTTGTGAGCCTTAAAACGTATAGCTAATAACTCATTAAGGCTTTTGTAAATTTCTGGACTTGAAAATGCCTTTAAGGACCCAAAGGATGAGATATTGCAGTTTTTGACTTGTGTTATGACAGCTTGACATTTTTGGGGATTTATATCGCTTCTATGACATTAAAACAAATTCAGGTGAATTTCTCTACATGTGCAGGTCTCTTAATGGTAGCACTACATCCCACACTTAGTGGTTAGTTGAAATAGGCCACATTTGAATAAAAATCCATACACTTAATGAGTAACATTAACTCCAACTCACTAAGATGTAATCGGTGTTATCTATACTTTAATCTATGCTCACTGATACCACTGAGAACAGGTTAAAGATAACCGTTAACCTTGTGCCAGTCTTTTAAGTCCTATTAATACCACTTGTGATTTGTTCAGTAGTTCAAATAGGAATGTTTTACTTATGGTAGTAACTAGGTTTGCTTACTAAAAGGATGGGGAAAGGTGTATATATAGGTCGAATTGTCTTGTCTTTTTAGTACTGTGAAAACTTCATCAGGCCTTTGCTAACTGTAAATATCACCGAAAAATGGCATCAATCTCAAAAGCACAGACACCTTTGTTCATGTTGTTGACTTAAAGAAATATTAGATTAAAAAACGGACTTAGATGGCATTAGCCTCAAAGGCTTATTCTATGTTTGGACAGGGATTGGCATTGAGAGTGGTTTTGTTAACATCAAGCATGCATGATTTGTGTTTTATTAGGACAGCATTATTATACATTGAAAGAATGTTTAAGCGTTTCCTATTATTTTTCTCATTTTTAAGTAAAAACTGAATTTTCCCCCAGTTTTATCAGACATCAGAGACCCGCTTCAACCAGCCAAAAAAACAAAGCTCCAACCGTTGGTCACAAAGGTATGTATCACACGTCTGCACTGAGTACTAACGTTGTGACAGTAAAACAAACCACCCAAAAAATCCAAATGTTGTTTGACAGTTGTCTCGTGTGCAGAAGGCTAGCAGTTTGATGGAGTGTACATGCTAAACTTACAATCTGATGTTATTGCTTATGACAAATGTGTAATCTGATTACAACTATAATGTAACAAAACATAACATTTGTTCTAATCCCAAAGGAGTACATTATAATTTTGCAGAATGCACGTATAATCATTATCTTTATGAGCAATAACCTAAGAAATATATCTTATTAGGTTCACAGTGTGTGTTGTCCATTATATTGAAAAACTTCATCTTTGCATGATAAGTACCAGAGCTAGATGGAACCTTTTGCCGTTATTGTGTGGCACTTTCTAAAAATATCATTCTTAATAATGGCAGAATTATAACATTGAAAAAAAGAATTCTAGAAACACAGTACTCTTAAAAAACCAAGATTAAAAAATCCATGTTGGTTTAATCAAAGGAAGGTGTTTTTTTTAGTTGTGGACCACTTGGTACTGTTGACGGAAATACCTGTGGTGTGAAAGAAGGCAAAAAGAGTAACAGGCCGAGACCAGATGTTCTGTTGAATACTAAAGAGCGGTTACTGGTAACCTTATCACACCCCTGATCGTCTGTTTAATGGCTCCTCGTGTGTGCTAGCACCACAGCTTCAGGCCTGATTTCTGTTGAGATGTGACGGATTAATGGATAAAGAAAATGCTCCATTCCTCATTCATGTCTGTGTCTTCTCCCCCCAAAACCAGAGCATAGACTCCTCAGATGAAGAGACTCTGCACATAGACACAGAGACCAAGCCCGAGGTCAAAGGTCGCAACTCTAAGGTGAAGAAAAAGGGCGGAAGTGCAGCAGGGATTCTGGACCTGTTGCAGGCCAGCAAGCAAGTGGGGGGGATCGACTACAGCGCTAACAGGTAGATGGCCCTGACCCCCTCACATTTTTATTTTCTCCCTCAAGTGAAGCTTTTATTTCCAAACATGCTTCAGCTACAGGACACGCAAAAACATTAATCTCTTAATGGCTCCCAGGAGATCTCCTTTCTTCTCAGTAAATTCATTTGGGGGGTCTTTAATGAGGCGAATCGCTGACAAACATGCAGCCCACTCAGAGACGGCCTAATCGAATGAAAAAGCAGAATTTTATAACTTTTTCCAGGGTTTCAAACTCAAGTAGAAACTGAAGCAGCAGTTTACAAAGATTCTGTCAGCAGTTTGTGTTAAGCCAGTGTTTGTTTCATCCCACGCTAATCTATCAAAGCCCGCGTGGCTCCAGGCTCCTACCTTTGCCTTTTGCTCTTTCACTCAGCTCTTGATGGTCTATTTCCACCACACTGAAAGCTACAAATGAGCAATGAAAGAGAAAAAGAAAACATTACTAAAATATGTTAATTTTTCAAATTGTTTCAGTGCCTTGAGGAAGGAGTGAAACGGGCCTGTTCATTATAGCAACGTTTAAAAGTCACTGCAGTGTCACTGTTGCAGTTTTGCTATTATGTGTGTCAATCCTTTTTCCTAGCTGCTCCTGAAAGGAATCACTTGTCAATACAACCATAAATTCTATTTTTAAAAAAACAAAGTCACAGTATGAAAGATACAAACAAGGTGATTCGTTTATTTATTTACTTATTTATTCATTACAGATTATATGAACTCAACCTGTGGAACGTGTCTCATTAATTGCTCTCAAATGCTTTGAATGAATAAAGAATACTTTAATTCAAAAGAACAATAGAAATTCCAAGTGCCACATTGAACCAAATGTTTTGAGTTTTCTGGAAAAAAAACGTTTTATTAGCTGTTGGACTGGATTGAGGGGAGTGATCTCATTATATTTGACACCGGCCATTAATGGAAATCCATATCAAATACTCAACAAAGGCTCATCCATGCTCTTGTTAAAGTAAAATACAAAATGTTTCACACAAGCTGTGTGTTTATACAATTTTTGATGCAACCTAACTTTGACTTTTTTTTTTTATTTGACAGTTTTTACAGGCCTCACTGACAAGCCAAAGCTTTCTTTCTCTTCACGTCTGCCAACATGTTGACTGCTGTGTAATGGTTGTGTTGTTGTGTATTTCTTATTGGCGTACTTACAGTCAGCCACCTGCGTCTCCCAGTACACAGGAGGCCATTCAGGGCATGCTGTCCATGGCCAACCTGTCCTCTTCAGACAGCTTACCGCAGCCGTGGAGCCACAGCCAGTCCAAAAACAATAACCAGGCAAAGAACAACTCGCACAGCTCGCAGGCCGCTAAGAAGGGCGGCGGGGGGGGCGGAGCCAGCGGAAGCAGCAACAGCAAACAGACCACCAAACGCGTCCCCAAGAAACCCAGGAAAAGTAGCAGTATTGAGAGTCTGGATTATGACGACGACCAGGATCACATGGATGCGTGTTTCAAGGACTCAGATTATGGTAATTAAGAAAAAATACTTCCACACAACCTCAAACCAATAACCATCATGCTCCACATTTTTCACAACCAAAATGTAATAATGAAATTCATTTGAATGACCCATTTAATATATTCTAATTGATGTAGCAGCACACAAACTATTATAGGATCAGTTCACCTTTAACCCTTTATCGGACAAGTGACTGTTTTGGGGAATTTCCGCACGTTAGTTATAGTAAAAAATTTAAGAAAATGTCACAAATGTAATAAAGTCTTATTATGTTGTCCAATAACACTCTAAGGTTGAATTTTTTTATTTTTAAGTGTTTCATTAAGTGCCCTATAAAGGGTTAACAGAATTTTTTATTTGTTTATCAGACGTGTTTATCTGTTTTAACTACTAATATTACTATTAGTATTAGATGTAATACTAAATCCTGCTTTGAACCGTTTCTGAGATGCTTTTAACGCTAGATTGTGAGTAGAGAGTTTTATCATTATTAAAAATGTTTTAGATTGGGAACATATTCTTGAGTGGACATCCGCAGTGGGGAGATTTTTCTAGTAACTATGGCGATTCATAGGAACACCATTTATTCATATCACACATCATTTACCTTTAATGGTTGCTATTTCCGTTCTTTACATCCTGTTTTTATTTGAATGCTGAAAACAAAGCAGATGCCTGGAACGGAGAGGGGTCAGTCCGGTGTCCAGCACATTTTGCACATATGAGAAAATAATTAGCTCCTTCTTCTGATTCTCCCGCTGCTGCTGCTAACAGGTGCTGTTAAAAACAGATCCACTCCTGTTGGACCAGCATGTGGGTCTTTAATTCTTAATTTAGCCGGGAACGTTTCATTAGATGTAGATGATAGGGGCTGGTGTTTATTTTGCGTGTGTCCGTTCCCTGGCGTGTTGCTCGCGTTTATTTGTTGAAGCCCTTCCAAATACAGCCGTTTCAACCCACCCGGCTTGTTAATAAGCCATTAACACAAGTTTCAAGCTGTTATTTTACATGCTTTTTGAACTCCTAATTAGTGTCTAATCAGTTTGCACGAACATTCCCTCTCCGGCTGGGATGGAGCTTTTTCTCTTGTAAACAGGCTATATTTTATCTTGATTGTCTAGTTATCAGATATTTAAGTCTAGATTGGAATGATTGTGCTGTGAGCGGTCAGAGGAGGAGGGGTCAGTCTGCAGCTGTTTCGCAGCTGTCCTGCAGGAGACTACTGGAAACATCCTCCATTTTGCAAAGCAGAAATGATTGCATAACACTCTGGGCCTCACATCCTCTCGTCCAGAAACTCCCGTGTGTGACCACAGTCTTTTGTTTTCATTTCAGTTTACCCCTCGTTGGAGTCTGAAGAGGACAATCCTGTTTTCAAATCCAGATCGAAAAAGCGGAAAAGCAGCGACGACACTCCCTACAGCCCCACAGGTAAGACCTGGACGGCCCGAATAAAGTTTAAACCCCGTTCAGCTTTGGGATTTCACCCAGACCTGAGCCCTGCTCCTGATGTGTCCACAGCCCGCGTTGGACCCTCAGTGCCCAGACAGGAGCGGCCGGCCAGAGACGGCGCCCGCGTGGCCTCCATAGAGACGGGCCTGGCCGCCGCCGCCGCCAAGCTCTCCCATCAGGTCAGTTCACGCCGTCTTTACCGAGAAACACCCCCCCCCCGGTGAGGGCCTCACCCCTAAACCCCTTGTCTGACCACAGGAGGAGCAGCAGAAGACCAAGAAGAAGAAAAAGAGCACCAAAAAGAAGGCGCTCGTAGCTGAAGAGCCCCCGAAACTCTCTCAGGACAGCAGCTCGCCGGAGCACAACGTGGACTCCCACGAGGGCAGCCTGACCGACCAGGAGCTCAGCCCCGGAGCGGTCAAGTCGCCGGGCGGGCCGCAGCCCATGGCGCCGGGGGTCTTCCTCAGCCAGAGGCGGCCGTCCCTCTCCTCCCCCAACAACAGCACCCACTCCACCAGCACCCACTCCAGCAGCATGGCCAAGGTGGACCGGGCGGGGTCAGCAGATGCCAAAGGTGAGCATGGACGACAGCTCCTCCCCCCCCACAGCCACACGCATCGGTCAGTGCTGGACAACCAGCAGCATGTGGCACATTTACTCCATATTATATCAGAGTTTTGGGATAACAGGCACACACCTGTCCCGCTCCACTGAGGCGTTAGCATCCATTTAAAAGAAGCGTTAGCTCCACATTTCCTCTTGTGGCAGGAGTCATGGTTCTGCTCCAGGTTTCTGCCTGTTAAAGGAAGTTTTTCCTTGCCTGTGTCGCCTAGTGCTTGCTCATGGTGGGAATTGTTGGGTTTCTGTAGTTAACTTCAGAGTAGGGTCTGACCTGCTCTGTTTGGAAAGCTGTGAGACAACTGTTGTTGTGATGTGGCGCTATATAAATGAAATTGAATTGAATTGAATTGAATTGAGTAGAACACATCAAGTAGAACACATCAAGCCAACCCAGCATAAAGAGTGCTCCGACTTGTAATAACCGAAAACATTCAGATCAAAGGACCCACTGCTCTACCCATCGTGGAAAAACACGTGATGTTAGCTAAACGATGTGTGCATGGTTAACTGTCAGAACCAGGTTTCATCATGTGGAAGCAGTAGAAATAAAAACCTGTAACAAACTGTCCCGAGCAGCCCTCTGGACAGAGGTCTGTAGACAGCCGTCACCTTTTTGGGACTGACGTTCTGCCACTTTTCACCCCCCCACTTTGGGGTGGTGGAGATGTGTGGGATTAGAACACCAGCAGCTTCTCAAGGCAGTTAATGTTTTCCATGTTGTTTGGACAAAGTGTTCAAGGAAATCTATTCGAAAATTCATCGACACCTCCGCCCTCCGAAGTCAGCTCTATCCATTTTTAGTGAAAATAGTCCAATCTGAACTGAGTCTTTAGATGTTTTCCACGCTCCAACTGTCCACCAAACTCTGCGTAACCATCTGTGCCAATCACAACACCAATTACAAACCTAATGATGATTACCAAATAACAATTTGGCTTGCTCTGGTTCCTCTTTGAAAACGCAAGAAGTATTAATCTTGTAATGTTACACAGTTGTGTAAACACTTGTGAATTGGAAATGATGGATGCAGTCATTTACATGTAGGCTCGTTTTTTTTTCCATTTCAAGCCTTTTTTTTGTACGTTACTCATGATATGCGTTCTTGAATGAATCACTTGGAATGAATCGAGCCACTATCATACAAACTAATGATATCAGGGACTATCTATCTGGCTGACTCAGGGGCTGTGGACATTTTTTGTCCTTTAGGATCACACAGATAAGCCAGGAAATACAACATAAAAACACTCTGATCTTATATCGTACATGTGAACACAACTGGATAGAGTCGAATAAATGTGAAGAACAAAATAAATGTTGGATCTAGGTGTGCATCCTGCCTGACCTCCTGTCTTTTCTCCTCCTTTCCTCAGCGAAGCGGCTAAAGAAAGGCATGGCCACAGCCAAACAGAGACTCGGCAAGATTTTAAAGATTCATCGAAATGGAAAGCTCCTTCTGTAGCATGCAGTAAACTGTTGAAGGACTGAGGATTCTTCATCCCAAACTCACACAACTGCTCATCGAGAAAAAGCCAACAATGAGGAGAAGAGAAGGAGGAAAGAAAGAAAAACTGAAACAAGACGGCAGAGGAGGAAAATCATGCATTTTTCAATTTGTAAGAAGAACATCACTCAAATAGGTTTTTGCCTCTACTTATACTTTATAACTTTCAGATATTAAAGTGTACAGAGCCTATTATAAATATTTTTTAAGAAAACATGTCTCATTTTACTACAGCTGTCAGTTTATCAGGGGTTGCTGAAACATGAAGTAGAAGTACATTGCAGTCATTCCAAGATATGTGAAAGTATCCCTTGCATGTATTCAGTTGCATGTGCGCTTTTGTCAGAGCTGGGGGGGGGGGGGGGGGGGGTAGTTCCTACGTATGGATGCAGCTTATCATTGCAACACTGAGATAAAATAGGAAAATCTCCTCTTCCCCACCTGCTGAGGCAAGCCTCTTGTGTATCGTACAGCACACTTTTACGTATTTTTTTTTTCTTTTTAATGCTCGCATAGCACTATCAACAGTCAGTTATTTATTTATTCTTGTCGGTTCTCGAGATGGGAAATGGAAAGCAATGGTAAAGCACAAAGCAGGTCTCTATGTGGGACCTGCATTCAGTGATAAGCCTCATCCATATCAGGCCTGCAGCTACAGGGGGATACTTTCAGTCTTTTGTTTTTCACAGGCAGCACCACCAGCCTTTACTTATCTCTGCGTTTTTATGACTTCACACAGTACAACAAATAGAATGTAGCTTGTACATAGCATTTTAACTTACACTTTTTTTGTATCCTTTCCCCTTAAAGCTTAATTCCATATTTTTACCAATTTTGCTAATTATAAATAAATGAATTAAAAAAAAAAGAAATATATATGTGTATATGAATATATGGTATAGGCCTAATTTTTAACCTTTATTTTTTAGCAAAGATCTTTTTTGTGTTTAGTTTGAAAGGTGCTGCCTGCGAAACAACTGAAGAAATAAAACATTTAATTGTCATATGGCCTTACATACACAAGCTAATTGTATTGTGATTCTGTCTGAACAAGAGACAAAGCTTTGAGGAGAAGCTGTATAAAAGGAAAAAAAAACAAACACAACGTTTCTTTGACCAGCCTCTTGTTTGACTTCTAGTATCCTGAAGGTTTTCGGAATTATTTTACTAGCACCTTGTGAAGTGTTTATGTGTCAGTGATGTAATTTATTAATGTTTGTAGCTTTTTTATACTTGTACGATTCTTAAGAGTTTTGCTTTTGAATAATTCATCAAGTTGTGAAATTTCCCTTTAATTTTGATTTTTTTTGTGTGTTAGAGGGGGGGAATCACAAACATCATGAACACACTAGAGTCCAAGTTAGCCAGAATGTGTTGATCTCCACCCCGTCCCATTTCCAGTGTGACATACTTATTTTTCTGAAAGCTCCAAGCGGCTTTATCCAAGCCTCCATACATCCTGGTTCTGCTGTGCGTCCGACATGGTAAGACCATTCTTTGTCACCTTAGAAATGACACTCACTCAGATCTAACTCTGTCTGTGGGACACGTATTCAGGTTTTTATTTGTACAGTATGTGCATTGCTTTGTTGTGGGTTTTTTTTTCCATGTCCGATCCATTAAACACATCCACTGTACCACAACAGTGAATGATACCTGTTGTAGCTGTCTTCCCTTACTGTTATTTACAGTATTAGTAAATATTTACAATCCTTTTTGACCTGAATCTATATTTTTCTGTATTTAGATTGATTCTGTTTGAGGTGATGGTTCACTTTTCTAAGACATGGAGAAATGGCAAACTGGAGGAACAAACATATTGTTGTTGACTGATATGATTGTCCGCCTTGTTTACTTTTGCAATACAGTTCCTGTGGAAAACCTTCTTTGTAACGTGTTCCTCTCCCACCTGCAATGTGACAGCTTCTGTGGTGACGACTAAAAATGTTTTTCCCTGGTTCACATTGTCATGCTTTGCAGTTAAATCCAGCACACCACACTGGGCACAAACTGATGTCAGAATCTCTCTAAAAGGAGATGAGGCCAAGCTCTCCGTTCCTGAACTCCTGCAGTTCCAGCCCAGCCATTAGTTCAAACAAAGCCAAAGCCAACACCATTAAAAATGTATTACTTTAAAAGTGCCCCCGAGCAGTGGGATTATTTGGACGTTTCCTGAGGAAGCCTTGCTGAAAAATGTCACACACTGTAACTGGAATTCACACACGGTTCACTCAGTCAAGAGAAATAGATCCTGGAGTTTGCTACTTCACAGGATGTGAGTTGGTTACGTTTTTTTTTTTCATGCCTAGACAGACAAACATACTTTGCTGGAGAACTCACCGGTAGTTTTGAGTTTTGAGCCACTAGATGGCTCAAAACTACCGTTCATACTGTAGATGAGTCAAAAACACATGTCTAAATAAAGCTAAGATACCACTTTTTTTTATTCATATGTGGGAGTTTGACGAGTCAACTGCTTTTTTTCAGTACCATTCAGATTTCATTTGCTTAATCACTCAGAAAACTGGAATGGAACGATTAATGCTCTGTGATGAGGAAATGATTGTCTTTTAAGGAACCTTAATCTCGCCAAATAACTTAAAAAAAGAACATGGAAAACATGAATTATCTCAGTTTTATTGCCGATTTGTTTTGAAATGGATTCAATACAAGAACAGTTAACAAGTCAGTACTCTAGCTCCTTCAAACACAAAGGATATGATTGATGGAAGCACTTTCACTATGATTAGAAATGTTAGCTATGCGTAACTAACAAGTAAATTCATTTTAGAAGATAGTGAAGCTTAAACACTGGCTACAACCTATTAACATTTTTTTATACTATGTAAATATTAATATTTACCAGTTGATTTACCAGTTGAAATTGCTTGGATTTCTAATACATCTCTTGATTTTTTTATTATTTTGTTATATCATGTTAAGCTACCAGTCATTCATAGCATGATGTAAAGATGTTCGCCCAATAAGGAGTAGATAGCTGGCCTTGGCCAGAAAAACCAAGGCCAGCTATCAAAGAGCTGCTGTTCTCATGTGAAGGTCTGAACACTCTTAAGGTTCGCTAACACACTGTGATTGCATCTAATTGCATCGATTACATCCAGATTTGATCAGAGAAATGGAAGGAAAGCTGATTTTAAAGGGATGTGAAAATAAATTAATAGACTCCAAGAGAATTAGTCACAGCACATTAGCAGTGACTCTCCAACCAAAATACCTCAATTAACTCTTCATTTGTGTAATTAAAGACTGATTGCGCTAATAGGGAAGTTATTCCTTCATACGCCCGTGTGCATGTCACCACGTTTAGCAAACTGAACAAATAACACATCTGGACACAATTGATCGCAACCAAGTAAAACATAGCGGTAATCTTCATGGGAATCTGCATTTCCCCACGCCGGTGTTTTATTTAATCCATCCATCAGGTCAGCGTGTGTGTGTGTCTGCGTGTGTGTGTTTGCGTGTGTGTGTTTGCGTGCGTGCGGCCAAACGGCGTGGCTGTTAAAGGTCACGACCCCGTTTCCACCCTGGTTAGCATCAAAGTGAGTTGTTATTGCTGGCTAATTGTTAACACGGGAACGGGAAAGTGCTGGGATGTGGGGGAAACCGTCACAGTTGGTCCGCCCCGGCTCTTTTTCACACTCTGAATGCTGAATTAAGGAGAGCCGAAAAGTAAGAAATCAATTCCAAGAATCAGGAAGTTGATGTTTAGGGAAAACATCTGAAACTAGCTGATAGATGAGCTAGTATTCCACCATTTTAAAAGTAATAAATACATTCAATTTCATTTTTGCAACTACAAACTCCCTGAAGACTTTCTTTGGCATACTCGGCCCCCCCAAAAGGGCAAGTGGGATCACAATTTAAACGTCAGCGTTTGAAAAACGGCGCCTGCAGAGTGTTCCAGTGTACGTGCGCTCATGGCCGCCTTAATGAGCGCAGATGGGACCGGGCCGCTTTGAAAACCCTCTGCTCTGGTTTGGGGGTCCCCCGGTGGTCCGGGGGAAACGCGCCACGTGAGAGATGTCTGAATTACAGAGGAATGTCAGGTTCATTTTTGTCTCTGTGTGGCCCTTCCCCAGCACTCCACCGCCCCCCCCCCCCCCCCCACCGTTGCTGTTTCTCTTTATTTCAGCGTTCTCCGGCCCCGGGGGCTGTGGGGAACAATGGCGTGCGCTGATTCCTCCGCTAACAGACGGGTAAAGCTGCGGGGGCACCCCCCCGCCCCGGGCTACAGCAGCCATCTCCCCTCTGAGGGCTCAGAAAGCCGGTCTTTGTGCGGGCGATGACAGGCCGGCTGTAGGCCGGAGCTGTGTGGAGCTGTGTGGAGCTGTGTGGAGCTGTGTGGAGCTGTTTGGAGCTGTGTGGAGCTGTGTGGAGCTGTGTGGAGCTGTGTGGAGCTGTGTGGAGCTGTGTGGAGCTGTTTGGAGCTGTGTGGAGCTGTTTGGAGCTGTGTGGAGCTGTGTGGAGCTGTGTGGAGCTGTTTGGAGCTGTTTGGAGCTGTGTGGAGCTGTTTGGAGCTTTTTGGAGCTGCTCTACTCGGCGTGGATTAAGAACTCTGTCAGCCAGCAGGAAGTGCTCTGCTCCTAAAGCTCACTCACAGCGCCGGAGTGCAGAGAGAAGTTTGACTCACGCAAACACACACTGACAAAAAAAACCTTCTCCTGCAGGTTTTGCTCCACTTCTGATAAATCTCTGTCAAAATGCTCTTAAAAGAGTTTCCCACATGGATGATTATCACCAGTCATGGATTTAGAACTCTAATTCTTTAATTGAGGAAAACATCCCATCAGTAAAGGAGTCAAATACACAGTAGACATCATCCTAAAATTTTATGGTGGTAAAGGCTTTTACAGTTGGAGCTAATTGAGTTTGTTTTCTTTATTCCAAGTCCCTCAACGAATATTCCATCCATCCATCCATCCATCCATCCATTATCAATACCGCTTATTCCCTGTTGGGGTCGCGGGGGGAACTGGAACCTATCCCAGTGGTCAACGGGCGAGAGGCTGGGTACACCCTGGACAGTCCGCCAGTCCATCACAGGGCCACACAGAGACACACAAGGACCAACAACCACTCACACTCACATTCACTCCTAAGGGCAATTTCCCCAATCTCCAATCAGCCTAACATGCAGGTTTTTGGACTGTGGGAGGAAGCCGGAGAGAACCCACGCAGACACAGGGAGAACATGCAAACTCCACCCAGAAAGGTCCTGGTTCCCCCGGGATTCGAACCCAGAACCTTCTTGCTGGGAGGCGACAGTGCTAACCAACACACCACCGTGCCGCCCTTCAACGAATATTCAGTGAATTAATTTTGGATTAAAAGTACTGCTATTTGTCTTGGAACAAACTAACATTCTGCTCTTCCAACAAGTGCCCACA